GCTTGAGTGGCATCGGCTCGTAAATGTCGTCGGTGCCTGCTGGTGCCGCAAATCCGACATGACGACGCGTTTCGCGCGGCGTATTCACGGTCGGGGCGGCCCTGTTCCTCGTCATGCCGGGCATTGACTGGGCTGCGCCATCACTGGCTATGCCTGAGCGCTGTCCCACGCTGTCATGCTGTGATGGTGTTCCGGACGAGATGACGATTGGCTCGTCCGACTGTGCAGGTGCATTTGCGGGTGTTAGTGTTGCTGCAGATGCATTTGTCGCCGACTGCCGGCGAGCGGCGTCAAGTTCCGCCGAGAGTGTCGCAACTTCGAGAGCGGAATTCTCGAGCTGGCTCACCAGGCGATCGAGCTGCTCCTGCGTTAGTGTCGCGATATTAAATTCAGCCATGGCGGGGGTGTCGGGCAAGCTCAGCGAGAGCCTCTGTCGTGGCCGTACGTGCTTACGCGAGAGCACTTCGAGCGGCGGTGCTTGGTCGCTGAGAGGCGTCTACCCCCCTAAAAAATTGAGATAGTGGGGAAGCGAAGGTGTGGATGCGGTCCGAGAGAAGATCGTAGGCTCTGGATACCAAGTGTTACGAGTGCAATTGAGCGAGCGAGCGAGAATTGCACTATCGAAGCAAAAACAGTGAATGAGCGAAGGATTGAGCAAGAACTAAATGGCGAAGGCCATAGTGGTAACGGTAACGAATTGTGGGTGACGCATGATGGGCCTGGGACTGAGGTTGGGACTGAGGTTGGGAATGTCGAGGCGGAGGCCCGGAGCGCGGGTTACCAGCCGAGCCGTGAGGTCGGTGTGTGACGGGCGAGGTGGCGAGAAGATTGTCGAAGCGAGGATTGCGAGTGGTAACGGTGCTGACTGTGGTGCTATAGTGACGTACGCGCCAAGCAGGGATGCGGTGTAAGGAAATGGAAATTTCCTTACAGATAGACTGCCTCGAATCGAGTGCATACTTTTGGCGCCGCCTTCTTGACCTCTCGGCGGCCCGCGATGGGACCAGCACGAGGTTAGGGAGGTTGTGTGGTTCGGCTTTCAGCCGTCACTGTGGTGTGGTCAAGGAGGTGCGGAGATTGCAGATTTCAATCTGCGATGATAAGAGGAAACGTTTCTTCGCATTATCAGAGTGGAGCTCGCGCGCAGTTCGCACAGTTTCGAGCAAGCACGCCAGGGTACAGAATGTAACCTTGTTTCGTTTCCCATGGTGTCAGAGTGACACTGCTACAGCTTGTCAGACGAACTCCCCACACAACCATTTTCCCGCCACATGTGCTTGCTGAAACCGGCTCGACGACTCTTGGTTCTTGATTTTGCGTTTCTGTGATTGGATCCGAGCCAGGAGTCAGGTTCCCATACCAGACATTCGAAGCCTGGTGGTGGGGAAAACAGAACCCACGCTTGTTCCGCTAGCTTCGTGTAGGCCCCAGACCGGGTGGGCCCTGGAACATCACACAGTCAAACGTTGGCTGGGCGCGGCTTCGTGCGGGCTGGGCGCCCCTTCATCTGTCCTCTAAAACCCGACTAAACCAGAGGAGACCGATGCGAAACACGCCGGACCCCTTTGCCTTTCTCCCCTCTTTTGCTTTTCTCCCTCTCCCTTACCTCACCCATCGACTCTCCCTCTCCCACAGCCTCGCGATTGATCATAGCGGTGTTCTGTTGCCGCACCACTTGATGCGGGGGCAAACAGGACAGCACCGCATCACATGGTGCGGCATCAGGCTTCCGCGAACCATCAAACCCCCAGGTTGGTGCAGCACAGCCTCCTGCCACACTCCGCGCAATTGCACAAGTAGCGACAGCACAAGTAGTCATGGGCAGTGATTGGTTGGCGAAAGTTGTTGTAGTGGCGATGAAAGTGGCAGGAAGTATTTTTGTTTTCTTTCCAGACCGTGAAACCTTCTCTTGCGATGGCAATTGGATGGTTGGATGGCCTGAAAGCAAACGAGCCAACCAGGACAACGAGAAGCATTTTTCCCTGCCCCGCACCACTTGATGCGGTGCCTTGATCCCCCCTCTGACCCTGAACCAGGCCCGCACCAGTCCCGCACCCATTTTGCCTGGGATTGGGGGATTACGAGTGCGTCAGTGGCTCACCGTTCTTTTGGGCGAACGGACTGCACTGAACTGTTAGGTCCGGGAAGAGGTTCAGTTTCCCGAGCCTAGAATCAAGGAATACGCACTCATAAATGAAGCTCGCAGGATCTCCGGTGGAACCCCGGAAGAAGCATCAATCTGGTGCAGTGCGGAGGGGTACGGACCAAGTGGTGCGGCAACAGAACAGGGCCCATACAAGGGACCATAGCTTCAGTGGTTTCATCTGGTTAGATATAGAGCGGTTTAGAAAGATTGTAAGGGAAACCAGGCTATTGTGCCAACACCAAAGCAAGTTCCCTCCACGTCCCTATCAGCCACTGTCCTTGCAGTGTTTTGTCAGGATGGCCGACCGAGCCAGGGACGAATCGCGCTGGTCTTTTCAGAAATCCAGCTGTGCTTTTGCAGTGTGTTTGGTCATCCAGTGTCAGTTCCGGCTTTATCTGATCTGCTCGTTCGCGTGTGTCTGTGTAATGCCAGCACGATTGCAGGGGATGCATCAGTGAGGTTCCTTCTGGTGAGGTGATCCGTTTGTCCTCCTCGTGTTCCTTCCGTTAGTTGTCGTTTCGTTGCGTCAAATCATCCAGGCATGGTCGAATTCGAATCGTGCTCTGTCGCTAGTACTTAGTCAAGGCTGCTTCCAAGCATCAGCATCTAAAGACGGATATAGTATTCTCGCTCGCGCACGAGCTGCGTGTCTAGTAAAATGTACATAACACAACGCAGTTGCGGCTATCGACGTTAGGGTTGTGCACCTTGCTGATTCAGTCTACACTCCAAGCTTGCACTGGGAAATCTGAAAGCCGATTGCCTCTATTCATTCGTATGTACTCTGAGAGAGGCACAGCGTAGTAAATAATTTTGAGTTCGATATACTTAGTATTTGAGAGAAATCAAGAAAGTTACCAATGAGGGGTTTGGTGCGCAGCGGTCTTTGGAGCACCGCCTTTGTCATCTCCTTCACCTCCGTCCTCTCTTTATTATCAAATTCGCTCCAAAGTAGCGAGATCGGTTACGACATCCCGGATACCGCCACGCTCGACGTCACTCCGATAGTGAGTCCTTCGTCACAAGATGTGAGACTTCAGGCGCGACCGGCGGGCTTGCAACGCACTAGCGTGTCAGCTTCAAGCGGGGATGGTCTGCTGAGATCGGATCTGCCTGCAGCAAGCAATATCCTGACGCGGAAGGAGCTTCCGAAGCCGTTGATTTCTGAAAACTCCCAAGAACCCATGCCGTTGATTTCAGGGAATGCTCAAGATCCGCAGCAGAAGCTTGTTGATGGCATTGATATTGTCGAGATGGAGTTGGAGGATGAAGAGACACCCATAAGAAGATCCTTATCTTCAACTTCTTCGTCTTTATCCGAAAACGCGGATCCCGCAGAGGGAAACACGAATGTTCTACAATCGAATGTTCCAGTAGCGGAGAATCTGGTGTCGGACAGGAGAATATGCGGAGAGGGGCCGTTGAAAGTGTTTGTGTACGATCTGCATCAGAAGTTCAATTTCGGGCTGTTTCGACATAAGGAGCTCGAGAGCTTGCCTTTTAGCGCGGATGAGGCTCCTCAGCTGCAGTATCAGAGGAAGGCGAACGGAGGGGTGTCCGGACGAGGCTTCGAACACAGCGGCGAATATTTCATCGTTTATAACTTACTGGTGAGTGTACACTGCGGCATTCTTCCGCCCTCCCCTTCCGCCTTCTCCCCCTCACCCCCTTCACCGTTTCCCCTGGCTTCGAACACAGCGGCGAGTTCTCCATCGTTTACAACCTACTGGTGAGTATACACTGAGGTGACTTTTGAGTCGACTCAAAGTGGCTTCGAACACAGCGGCGGATGTTGCATCGTCTACAACCTTCTGGTGAGAATACACTGAGGTTTTCTTCCGCCCTCCCCTTCCGCCTTCTCCCCCACACCCCCTCCACCGTTTCCCCTGGCTTCGAACACAGCGGCGAGTTCTCCATCGTTTACAACCTACTGGTGAGTATACACTGAGGTTTTCTTCCCCCATTTGCCCCTCTTCCCTCGCTCCTCCTCCCCTGCTCTCCGTATGTTCGAACACAGCGGCGAATATTTCATCGTCTACAACCTACTGGTGAGTGTACACTGCAGTATTCCTCTCCCCTAATTTCCACGCCTCCTCCCCAGCTCCCCCTTCGTTGGTTGCAGCGGCGAATATTTCATCGTCTACAACCTACTGGTGAGCATGCACTGTGATTTGTTCCCGCGCCCTTCTCCCCCTTGCCCCACTCCCCCCACACCTTCTCCCCTTCTCCCCGTATGTTCGAACATCGCAGCGAGTTCTTCATCGTTTATAACCTACTGGTGAGAATGCACTCCCGTGTTCTTTCCCCTCGCTGCACTCTCCTCCCTCCCCCCCACTCCACACCTCCTCCCCTACTTCCCCTGCGTTCGAACACAGCAGCAAATTCTTCATCGTTTATAACCTACTGGTGAGCATACACCGTGATTTGTTCCCCCGCCCTTCTATTCCCCCGCCCTCCCCCCCCCTTCCACTCACCTTCCCTAGTGCTCCCGCTGCGTTCGAACACAACGGCGAGTTCTCCTCCCTCCCCCCCACTCCACACCTCCTCCCTGCTTCCCCTGCGTTCGAACACCGCGGCCTTATAAGAGTGACGGATCCCGCTGCAGCGGATGATTTCCTCCCCCCTGCCAACCCCACATGCGCGCCCTGTGCTTCCCCGTGCCTCCGCCTGTTCAGGCGAACAATCACAGCGACAGCAGCAGCAGCAACGGCGACATTATAAGAGTAACGGATCCCGCTGCAGCGGACGTGTTCTTTCCCCCTGCTAACCCCACATGTGCGCCTTGTGCTTGCCCGTTGCCTCCCTGTGCTTTCCTGCGCTTCCCCTCTTCCTCCCCGCGCATCTTCCTGAGCAGGCGAACAACCACAGCGACAGCAGCAGCAGCAACGGCGACATTATAAGAGTAACGGATCCCGCTGCAGCGGATGTGTTCTTCGTGCCCTTCCTCGCTTCGCTCAGCTTCAACATCTTCACCACCAATGGCATGCGAGGGGCGCTCGCAGAAAAGGACAAAATTCTCCAGGTAAGCAGGGCTGAGCACGAATCTCAGGTGAATCTCCAGGTGGGCTGGGCTCAACTCGCCCCAGTCTTGAGTTGAGTCAAAAGTCATCCCAGTCTTGACTGTAGTCTGTCTGCCGGCATGAGGTTTCTCGACTTCTTCATGCCCTTCCTGGCGCCGCTCAGTTTTAACATCGTCATCACCAAAGGCATGCGAGGGGCGCTGGCGGGAAAGGACAAGATCCTGCAGCAGGTGCGTTGGGCACGGCTCGGTAGGAGGAGCTGTGCGGCGTCTTGAAGGGGTCCTCCTGGCGGCAGGAGGGGCCACATCATCCCCCCCAGGCTGTAGCCCAACGCTGATGCTGTTGCATACATCATACATCCTCATCGCAGTCTGTCGCTGCTCGCCCTTTCTTCCCTCACTGCAGGAGGAGCTGTGCGGCGTGTTGAAGGGGTCCCCCTGGTGGCAGCGGTCGGGCGGCAGGGATCACATCGTCCCCAGGCTGCAGCCCAGCGTCCATCCACTCCCTCTCTCTCCTTCCATCTCATCCTCCTCTTTCTTCCCTGACTGCAGGAGGAGCTGTGGGGCGTGTTAAAGGAGTCGCCGTGATGGCAGCGGTCGGGCGGCAGGGATCACATCATCCCCATGCTGCAGCCCAACGCCCTTCGCCACTGCTGTCATACACATCCCCATATGACTGTCTAACATCTGCTCTTCTTCCCTCACTACACAGGAGGAGCTGTGGGGCGTGCTGAAGGAATCAAAGTGGTGGCAGCGGTCGGGAGGCAGGGATCACATCATGCCCATGCTGCAGGGAGCCCAACGCCCAACGCAGCCCAACGTTAGCATACATCCCTGTCTTACTTTTCCTGCTGTGTTGTTGTCTGTGTGGGTTTGACAGGAGGAGCTGTGGGGCGTGTTAAAGGTGTCGCCCTGGTGGCAGCGGTCGGGAGGCAGGGATCACATCATCCCCATGCTGCAGCCCAACGCCCTTCGCCACATTCGCCAGCGCCTCGCCCCAGCCATGTTCCTGCTGCTCGATTTTGGCCGGTCAGTCCCCTTAGACTTCTTGGTCTGAGTCAGGAGTTACTTTGAGTCTGCGTCTTTGAGCTGCCACATTCGCCAGCGCCTCGCCCCGCCCCAGCCATGTTCCTCCTACTCGACTTCGGCCGGTCAGTCCCCTCCCTTAGATGACTTGGTCTGAGTCATACGTCACTCCGAGTCTGCACTCTTGAGGCGCAATATTCACCAGCGCCTCGCCCCGGCCATGCTCCTGCTGCTCGTCTTCGGCCGGTACGTTAATTTGGTCGCTGTTTTGAAATTTTAACCATAAGTAGTCTTGATTGGGTCTGCACTCTTGTGGCGCCGAATTCACCAGCGCCTCGCCCTGGCCATGCTCCTCCTGCTCGTCTTCGGCCGGTACGTACCAGGTTGTGGCACGCCTGAGTAAGGACAATAGTCGTTCCATACAAGCACATGGTGCCATACAGCCACATGGTGCCGTGCCGTCTTACACAGAGCTCGAACCCCCTTGCTGTATCCCCTCATTCCACCCACTCACCAGGTTGTGGCACGCCTGAGTATGGACAATAGTCGTTCCATACAAGCACATGGTGCCATACAAGCACATGGTGCCATACAAGCACATGGTGCCATACAACCACATGGTGCCATACAACCACATGGTGCCATACAACCACATGGTGCCATACAAGCACATGGTGCCATACAAGCACATGGTGCCATACAAGCACATGGTGCCATACAAGCACATGGTGCCATACAACCACATGGTGCCATACAACCACATGGTGCCATACAACCACATGGTGCCATACAACCACATGGTGCCATACAACCACATGGTGCCATACAACCACATGGTGCCATACAAGCACATGGTGCCATACAACCACATGGTGCCATACAGCCACATGGTGCCATACAACCACATGGTGCCATACAAGCACATGGTGCCATACAACCACATGGTGCCATACAACCACATGGTGCCATACAACCACATGGTGCCATACAACCACATGGTGCCATACAACCACATGGTGCCATACAAGCACATGGTGCCATACAAGCACATGGTGCCATACAAGCACATGGTGCCATACAAGCACATGGTGCCATACAAGCACATGGTGCCATACAAGCACATGGTGCCATACAAGCACATGGTGCCATACAAGCACATGGTGCCATACAACCACATGGTGCCATACAACCACATGGTGCCATACAACCACATGGTGCCATACAACCACATGGTGCCATACAACCACATGGTGCCATACAACCACATGGTGCCATACAACCACATGGTGCCATACAAGCACATGGTGCCATACAAGCACATGGTGCCATACAAGCACATGGTGCCATACAAGCACATGGCGCCATACAAGCACATGGTGCCATGCAAGCACATGGTGCCATGCAACCACATGGTGCCATACAACCACATGGTGCCATACAACCACATGGTGCCATACAACCACATGGCGCCATACAACCACATAGCTCCGCCTTACACAGAGCCGGCGTTCCCCTCTGCCTCCACTAAACCCTTCCACCAACCACCAGATATGCTCAAGGCGTGGCCCGTCTGAGCAAGGACATAGTGGTCCCATACAACCACATAGCGCCGCCTTACACAGAGCCGGCGTTCCCCTCTGCCTCCACTGCGTCCCTCCTTCCTCCCCTCTCTCAACCCTCACAGGCAGCAGAGGGGCTGCGGAATTCGCGCTTCTGTCTGAACGCGGCGGGAGTCACCCCTTCGTCCGCCCGCCTCTTTGACGCCATTGCCAACCACTGTGTGCCAGTGGTCACTCCCTCTCTCCCTCCTTCCCTCTCCCTTCCCACCCAACAGGCAGCAGAGGGGCTGAGGAATTCCCGCTTCTGCCTGAACGCGGCGGGAGACACCCCTTCGTCCGCCCGCCTCTTTGACGCCATCACCAGCCACTGCATGCCCGTTGTGATCAGCAACAAGATCGAGCTGCCTTTTGAGACGTCAATAGACTATTCAGATTTCACTCTCTTCGTCTCCCATGAGGTGAGTCCCATGCCTCAAACCTAGTTTTCTTCGCCACTCACTGCGTGCCCGTTGTGATCAGCAACAAGATCGAGCTGCCCTTTGAGACGTCCATAGACTACTCCGACTTCACTGTCTTCGTCTCCCATGAGGTGAGCTCTCTCTCTCTCTCTCTCTCTCTCTCTCTCTCTCTCTCTCTCTCTCTCTCTCTCTCTCTCTCTCTCTCTCTCTCTCTCTCTCTATGGGACTAGGGTTTAGGGTTTAGGGTTTTGGGTACTCTCTGGAGACCAGAGGAGAGTCCCATCACCAGCCACTCACTGCGTGCCGGTGGTCATCAGCAACAAGATCGAGCTGCCCTTTGAGACATCGATAGATTACTCCGACTTCACGCTGTTTGTCTCACATGAGGTGAGCCCTCTATGTGTTTTGGGAGTGTCTCTAGAGGAGAGCCCCATCGGTGAGCCCCATCGGTGAGCCCCATCACCAGCCACTGTGTGCCGGTGGTCATCAGCAACAAGATTGAGCTGCCCTTTGAGACATCGATAGATTACTCCGATTTCACTCTCTTTGTCTCCCATGAGGTGAACTCTCTTCAATCGATTCTGATTTGATTGCTGGAGGGAGTGACTGGATGTGCTGAGAGATGTGCGCCCCATCACCAGCCACTCACTGCGTGCCCGTGGTCATCAGCAACAACATCGAGCTGCCCTTTGAGACGTCCATAGACTACTCCCACTTCACTCTCTTTGTCTCCTATGAGGTGAGCCTCTCTCCATCCCTGGACCCTGTGACTTGGGAATGTCTCGAGGTGATAGTCCCATCACCAGCCACTGCATGCTTGTTGTGATCAGCGTCGCTCTCTCTGAACTGGCTACGCTCTTTCTCCCGATTCCCCACTCTCCCCTCCTCCATCCCTGGACCCTGTGACTTGGGAATGTCTCGAGGTGAGAGCGCATCACCAGCCACTGCGTGCTTGTTGTGATCAGCGTCGCTCTCTCTGAACTGGCTACGCTCTTTCTCCCGATTCCCCACTCTCCCCTCCTCCATCCCTGGACCCTGTGACTTGGGAATGTCTCGAGGTGAGAGTGCCATCACCAGCCGCTGCGTGCTTGTTGTGATCAGCGTCGCTCTCTCTGAACTGGCTACGCTCTTTCTCCCGATTCCCCACTCTCCCCTCCTCCATCCCTGGACCCTGTGACTTGGGAATGTCTCGAGGTGAGAGTGCCATCACCAGCCACTGCGTGCTTGTTGTGATCAGCGTCGCTCTCTCTGAACTGGCTACGCTCTTTCTCCCGATTCCCCACTCTCCCCTCCTCCATCCCTGGACCCTGTGACTTGGGAATGTCTCGAGGTGAGAGTGCCATCACCAGCCACTGCGTGCTTGTTGTGATCAGCGTCGCTCTCTCTGAACTGGCTACGCTCTTTCTCCCGATTCCCCACTCTCCCCTCCTCCATCCCTGGACCCTGTGACTTGGGAATGTCTCGAGGTGAGAGTGCCATCACCAGCCACTGCGTGCTTGTTGTGATCAGCGTCGCTCTCTCTGAACTGGCTACGCTCTTTCTCCCGATTCCCCACTCTCCCCTCCTCCACCCCTGGACCCTGTGACTTGGGAATGTCTCGAGGTGAGAGTGCCATCACCAGCCACTGCGTGCTTGTTGTGATCAGCGTCGCTCTCTCTGAACTGGCTACGCTCTTTCTCCCGATTCCCCACTCTCCCCTCCTCCATCCCTGGACCCTGTGACTTGGGAATGTCTCGAGGTGAGAGTGCCATCACCAGCCACTGCGTGCTTGTTGTGATCAGCGTCGCTCTCTCTGAACTGGCTACGCTCTTTCTCCCGATTCCCCACTCTCCCCTCCTCCATCCTTGGACCCTGTGACTTGGGAATGTCTCGAGGTGAGAGTGCCATCACCAGCCACTGCGTGCTTGTTGTGATCAGCGTCGCTCTCTCTGAACTGGCTACGCTCTTTCTCCCGATTCCCCACTCTCCCCTCCTCCATCCCTGGACCCTGTGACTTGGGAATGTCTCGAGGTGAGAGTGCCATCACCAGCCACTGCGTGCTTGTTGTGATCAGCGTCGCTCTCTCTGAACTGGCTACGCTCTTTCTCCCGATTCCCCACTCTCCCCTCCTCCATCCCTGGACCCTGTGACTTGGGAATGTCTCGAGGTGAGAGTGCCATCACCAGCCACTGCGTGCTTGTTGTGATCAGCGTCGCTCTCTCTGAACTGGCTACGCTCTTTCTCCCGATTCCCCACTCTCCCCTCCTCCATCCCTGGACCCTGTGACTTGGGAATGTCTCGAGGTGAGAGTGCCATCACCAGCCACTGCGTGCTTGTTGTGATCAGCGTCGCTCTCTCTGAACTGGCTACGCTCTTTCTCCCGATTCCCCACTCTCCCCTCCTCCATCCCTGGACCCTGTGACTTGGGAATGTCTCGAGGTGAGAGTGCCATCACCAGCCACTGCGTGCTTGTTGTGATCAGCGTCGCTCTCTCTGAACTGGCTACGCTCTTTCTCCCGATTCCCCACTCTCCCCTCCTCCATCCCTGGACCCTGTGACTTGGGAATGTCTCGAGGTGAGAGTGCCATCACCAGCCACTGCGTGCTTGTTGTGATCAGCGTCGCTCTCTCTGAACTGGCTACGCTCTTTCTCCCGATTCCCCACTCTCCCCTCCTCCATCCCTGGACCCTGTGACTTGGGAATGTCTCTAGGTGAGAGTGCCATCACCAGCCACTGCGTGCTTGTTGTGATCAGCGTCGCTCTCTCTGAACTGGCTACGCTCTTTCTCCCGATTCCCCACTCTCCCCTCCTCCATCCCTGGACCCTGTGACTTGGGAATGTCTCGAGGTGAGAGTGCCATCACCAGCCACTGCGTGCTTGTTGTGATCAGCGTCGCTCTCTCTGAACTGGCTACGCTCTTTCTCCCGATTCCCCACTCTCCCCTCCTCCATCCCTGGACCCTGTGACTTGGGAATGTCTCGAGGTGATAGTCCCATCACCAGCCACTGCGTGCTTGTTGTGATCAGCGTCGCTCTCTCTGAACTGGCTACGCTCTTTCTCCCGATTCCCCACTCTCCCCTCCTCCATCCCTGGACCCTGTGACTTGGCAATGTCTCGAGGTGAGAGTGCCATCACCAGCCACTGCGTGCTTGTTGTGATCAGCGTCGCTCTCTCTGAACTGGCTACGCTCTTTCTCCCGATTCCCCACTCTCCCCTCCTCCATCCCTGGACCCTGTGACTTGGGAATGTCTCGAGGTGAGAGTGCCATCACCAGCCACTGCGTGCTTGTTGTGATCAGCGTCGCTCTCTCTGAACTGGCTACGCTCTTTCTCCCGATTCCCCACTCTCCCCTCCTCCATCCCTGGACCCTGTGACTTGGGAATGTCTCTAGGTGAGAGTGCCATCACCAGCCACTGCGTGCTTGTTGTGATCAGCGTCGCTCTCTCTGAACTGGCTACGCTCTTTCTCCCGATTCCCCACTCTCCCCTCCTCCATCCCTGGACCCTGTGACTTGGGAATGTCTCGAGGTGAGAGTGCCATCACCAGCCACTGCGTGCTTGTTGTGATCAGCGTCGCTCTCTCTGAACTGGCTACGCTCTTTCTCCCGATTCCCCACTCTCCCCTCCTCCATCCCTGGACCCTGTGACTTGGGAATGTCTCTAGGTGAGAGTGCCATCACCAGCCACTGCGTGCTTGTTGTGATCAGCGTCGCTCTCTCTGAACTGGCTACGCTCTTTCTCCCGATTCCCCACTCTCCCCTCCTCCATCCCTGGACCCTGTGACTTGGGAATGTCTCGAGGTGAGAGTGCCATCACCAGCCACTGCGTGCTTGTTGTGATCAGCGTCGCTCTCTCTGAACTGGCTACGCTCTTTCTCCCGATTCCCCACTCTCCCCTCCTCCATCCCTGGACCCTGTGACTTGGGAATGTCTCGAGGTGAGAGTGCCATCACCAGCCACTGCGTGCTTGTTGTGATCAGCGTCGCTCTCTCTGAACTGGCTACGCTCTTTCTCCCGATTCCCCACTCTCCCCTCCTCCATCCCTGGACCCTGTGACTTGGGAATGTCTCGAGGTGAGAGTGCCATCACCAGCCACTGCGTGCTTGTTGTGATCAGCGTCGCTCTCTCTGAACTGGCTACGCTCTTTCTCCCGATTCCCCACTCTCCCCTCCTCCATCCCTGGACCCTGTGACTTGGGAATGTCTCGAGGTGATAGTCCCATCACCAGCCACTGCGTGCTTGTTGTGATCAGCGTCGCTCTCTCTGAACTGGCTACGCTCTTTCTCCCGATTCCCCACTCTCCCCTCCTCCATCCCTGGACCCTGTGACTTGGGAATGTCTCGAGGTGAGAGTCCCATCACCAGCCACTGCGTGCTTGTTGTGATCAGCGTCGCTCTCTCTGAACTGGCTACGCTCTTTCTCCCGATTCCCCACTCTCCCCTCCTCCATCCCTGGACCCTGTGACTTGGGAATGTCTCGAGGTGAGAGTGCCATCACCAGCCACTGCGTGCTTGTTGTGATCAGCGTCGCTCTCTCTGAACTGGCTACGCTCTTTCTCCCGATTCCCCACTCTCCCCTCCTCCATCCCTGGACCCTGTGACTTGGGAATGTCTCTAGGTGAGAGTGCCATCACCAGCCACTGCGTGCTTGTTGTGATCAGCGTCGCTCTCTCTGAACTGGCTACGCTCTTTCTCCCGATTCCCCACTCTCCCCTCCTCCATCCCTGGACCCTGTGACTTGGGAATGTCTCGAGGTGAGAGTGCCATCACCAGCCACTGCGTGCTTGTTGTGATCAGCGTCGCTCTCTCTGAACTGGCTACGCTCTTTCTCCCGATTCCCCACTCTCCCCTCCTCCACCCCTGGACCCTGTGACTTGCGAATGTCTCGAGGTGAGAGTGCCATCACCAGCCACTGCGTGCTTGTTGTGATCAGCGTCGCTCTCTCTGAACTGGCTACGCTCTTTCTCCCGATTCCCCACTCTCCCCTCCTCCATCCCTGGACCCTGTGACTTGGGAATGTCTCGAGGTGAGAGTGCCATCACCAGCCACTGCGTGCTTGTTGTGATCAGCGTCGCTCTCTCTGAACTGGCTACGCTCTTTCTCCCGATTCCCCACTCTCCCCTCCTCCATCCCTGGACCCTGTGACTTGGGAATGTCTCGAGGTGAGAGTGCCATCACCAGCCACTGCGTGCTTGTTGTGATCAGCGTCGCTCTCTCTGAACTGGCTACGCTCTTTCTCCCGATTCCCCACTCTCCCCTCCTCCATCCCTGGACCCTGTGACTTGGGAATGTCTCGAGGTGATAGTCCCATCACCAGCCACTGCGTGCTTGTTGTGATCAGCGTCGCTCTCTCTGAACTGGCTACGCTCTTTCTCCCGATTCCCCACTCTCCCCTCCTCCATCCCTGGACCCTGTGACTTGGGAATGTCTCGAGGTGAGAGTGCCATCACCAGCCACTGCGTGCTTGTTGTGATCAGCGTCGCTCTCTCTGAACTGGCTACGCTCTTTCTCCCGATTCCCCACTCTCCCCTCCTCCATCCCTGGACCCTGTGACTTGGGAATGTCTCGAGGTGAGAGTGCCATCACCAGCCACTGCGTGCTTGTTGTGATCAGCGTCGCTCTCTCTGAACTGGCTACGCTCTTTCTCCCGATTCCCCACTCTCCCCTCCTCCATCCCTGGACCCTGTGACTTGGGAATGTCTCGAGGTGAGAGTGCCATCACCAGCCACTGCGTGCTTGTTGTGATCAGCGTCGCTCTCTCTGAACTGGCTACGCTCTTTCTCCCGATTCCCCACTCTCCCCTCCTCCATCCCTGGACCTTGTGACTTGGGAATGTCTCGAGGTGAGAGTGCCATCACCAGCCACTGCGTGCTTGTTGTGATCAGCGTCGCTCTCTCTGAACTGGCTACGCTCTTTCTCCCGATTCCCCACTCTCCCCTCCTCCATCCCTGGACCCTGTGACTTGGGAATGTCTCGAGGTGAGAGTGCCATCACCAGCCACTGCGTGCTTGTTGTGATCAGCGTCGCTCTCTCTGAACTGGCTACGCTCTTTCTCCCCATTCCCCACTCTCCCCTCCTCCATCCCTGGACCCTGTGACTTGGGAATGTCTCGAGGTGAGAGTGCCATCACCAGCCACTGCGTGCTTGTTGTGATCAGCGTCGCTCTCTCTGAACTGGCTACGCTCTTTCTCCCGATTCCCCACTCTCCCCTCCTCCATCCCTGGACCCTGTGACTTGGGAATGTCTCTAGGTGAGAGTGCCATCACCAGCCACTGCGTGCTTGTTGTGATCAGCGTCGCTCTCTCTGAACTGGCTACGCTCTTTCTCCCGATTCCCCACTCTCCCCTCCTCCATCCCTGGACCCTGTGACTTGGGAATGTCTCGAGGTGAGAGTGCCATCACCAGCCACTGCGTGCTTGTTGTGATCAGCGTCGCTCTCTCTGAACTGGCTACGCTCTTTCTCCCGATTCCCCACTCTCCCCTCCTCCACCCCTGGACCCTGTGACTTGCGAATGTCTCGAGGTGAGAGTGCCATCACCAGCCACTGCGTGCTTGTTGTGATCAGCGTCGCTCTCTCTGAACTGGCTACGCTCTTTCTCCCGATTCCCCACTCTCCCCTCCTCCATCCCTGGACCCTGTGACTTGGGAATGTCTCGAGGTGAGAGTGCCATCACCAGCCACTGCGTGCTTGTTGTGATCAGCGTCGCTCTCTCTGAACTGGCTACGCTCTTTCTCCCGATTCCCCACTCTCCCCTCCTCCATCCCTGGACCCTGTGACTTGGGAATGTCTCGAGGTGAGAGTGCCATCACCAGCCACTGCGTGCTTGTTGTGATCAGCGTCGCTCTCTCTGAACTGGCTACGCTCTTTCTCCCGATTCCCCACTCTCCCCTCCTCCATCCCTGGACCCTGTGACTTGGGAATGTCTCGAGGTGATAGTCCCATCACCAGCCACTGCGTGCTTGTTGTGATCAGCGTCGCTCTCTCTGAACTGGCTACGCTCTTTCTCCCGATTCCCCACTCTCCCCTCCTCCATCCCTGGACCCTGTGACTTGGGAATGTCTCGAGGTGAGAGTGCCATCACCAGCCACTGCGTGCTTGTTGTGATCAGCGTCGCTCTCTCTGAACTGGCTACGCTCTTTCTCCCGATTCCCCACTCTCCCCTCCTCCATCCCTGGACCCTGTGACTTGGGAATGTCTCGAGGTGAGAGTGCCATCACCAGCCACTGCGTGCTTGTTGTGATCAGCGTCGCTCTCTCTGAACTGGCTACGCTCTTTCTCCCGATTCCCCACTCTCCCCTCCTCCATCCCTGGACCCTGTGACTTGGGAATGTCTCGAGGTGAGAGTGCCATCACCAGCCACTGCGTGCTTGTTGTGATCAGCGTCGCTCTCTCTGAACTGGCTACGCTCTTTCTCCCGATTCCCCACTCTCCCCTCCTCCATCCCTGGACCCTGTGACTTGGGAATGTCTCGAGGTGAGAGTGCCATCACCAGCCACTGCGTGCTTGTTGTGATCAGCGTCGCTCTCTCTGAACTGGCTACGCTCTTTCTCCCGATTCCCCACTCTCCCCTCCTCCATCCCTGGACCTTGTGACTTGGGAATGTCTCGAGGTGAGAGTGCCATCACCAGCCACTGCGTGCTTGTTGTGATCAGCGTCGCTCTCTCTGAACTGGCTACGCTCTTTCTCCCGATTCCCCACTCTCCCCTCCTCCATCCCTGGACCCTGTGACTTGGGAATGTCTCGAGGTGAGAGTGCCATCACCAGCCACTGCGTGCTTGTTGTGATCAGCGTCGCTCTCTCTGAACTGGCTACGCTCTTTCTCCCCATTCCCCACTCTCCCCTCCTCCATCCCTGGACCCTGTGACTTGGGAATGTCTCGAGGTGAGAGTGCCATCACCAGCCACTGCGTGCTTGTTGTGATCAGCGTCGCTCTCTCTGAACTGGCTACGCTCTTTCTCCCCATTCCCCACTCTCCCCTCCTCCATCCCTGGACCCTGTGACTTGGGAATGTCTCGAGGTGAGAGTGCCATCACCAGCCACTGCGTGCTTGTTGTGATCAGCGTCGCTCTCTCTGAACTGGCTACGCTCTTTCTCCCCATTCCCCACTCTCCCCTCCTCCATCCCTGGACCCTGTGACTTGGGAATGTCTCGAGGTGAGAGTGCCATCACCAGCCACTGCGTGCTTGTTGTGATCAGCGTCGCTCTCTCTGAACTGGCTACGCTCTTTCTCCCGATTCCCCACTCTCCCCTCCTCCATCCCTGGACCCTGTGACTTGGGAATGTCTCGAGGTGAGAGTGCCATCACCAGCCACTGCGTGCTTGTTGTGATCAGCGTCGTTCTCTCTGAACTGGCTACGCTCTTTCTCCCGATTCCCCACTCTCCCCTCCTCCATCCCTGGACCCTGTGACTTGGGAATGTCTCGAGGTGAGAGTGCCATCACCAGCCACTGCGTGCTTGTTGTGATCAGCGTCGCTCTCTCTGAACTGGCTACGCTCTTTCTCCCGATTCCCCACTCTCCCCTCCTCCATCCCTGGACCCTGTGACTTGGGAATGTCTCGAGGTGAGAGTGCCATCACCAGCCACTGCGTGCTTGTTGTGATCAGCGTCGCTCTCTCTGAACTGGCTACGCTCTTTCTCCCGATTCCCCACTCTCCCCTCCTCCATCCCTGGACCCTGTGACTTGGGAATGTCTCGAGGTGAGAGTGCCATCACCAGCCACTGCGTGCTTGTTGTGATCAGCGTCGCTCTCTCTGAACTGGCTACGCTCTTTCTCCCGATTCCCCACTCTCCCCTCCTCCATCCCTGGACCCTGTGACTTGGGAATGTCTCTAGGTGAGAGTGCCATCACCAGCCACTGCGTGCTTGTTGTGATCAGCGTCGCTCTCTCTGAACTGGCTACGCTCTTTCTCCCGATTCCCCACTCTCCCCTCCTCCATCCCTGGACCCTGTGACTTGGGAATGTCTCGAGGTGAGAGTGCCATCACCAGCCACTGCGTGCTTGTTGTGATCAGCGTCGCTCTCTCTGAACTGGCTACGCTCTTTCTCCCGATTCCCCACTCTCCCCTCCTCCATCCCTGGACCCTGTGACTTGGGAATGTCTCGAGGTGAGAGTGCCATCACCAGCCACTGCGTGCTTGTTGTGATCAGCGTCGCTCTCTCTGAACTGGCTACGCTCTTTCTCCCGATTCCCCACTCTCCCCTCCTCCATCCCTGGACCCTGTGACTTGGGAATGTCTCGAGGTGAGAGTGCCATCACCAGCCACTGCGTGCTTGTTGTGATCAGCGTCGCTCTCTCTGAACTGGCTACGCTCTTTCTCCCGATTCCCCACTCTCCCCTCCTCCATCCCTGGACCCTGTGACTTGGGAATGTCTCGAGGTGAGAGTGCCATCACCAGCCACTGCGTGCTTGTTGTGATCAGCGTCGCTCTCTCTGAACTGGCTACGCTCTTTCTCCCGATTCCCCACTCTCCCCTCCTCCATCCCTGGACCCTGTGACTTGGGAATGTCTCGAGGTGAGAGTGCCATCACCAGCCACTGCGTGCTTGTTGTGATCAGCGTCGCTCTCTCTGAACTGGCTACGCTCTTTCTCCCGATTCCCCACTCTCCCCTCCTCCATCCCTGGACCCTGTGACTTGGGAATGTCTCGAGGTGATAGTCCCATCACCAGCCACTGCGTGCTTGTTGTGATCAGCGTCGCTCTCTCTGAACTGGCTACGCTTTTTCTCCCGATTCCCCACTCTCCCCTCCTCCATCCCTGGACCCTGTGACTTGGGAATGTCTCGAGGTGAGAGTCCCATCACCAGCCACTGCGTGCTTGTTGTGATCAGCGTCGCTCTCTCTGAACTGGCTACGCTCTTTCTCCCGATTCCCCACTCTCCCCTCCTCCATCCCTGGACCCTGTGACTTGGGAATGTCTCGAGGTGAGAGTGCCATCACCAGCCACTGCGTGCTTGTTGTGATCAGCGTCGCTCTCTCTGAACTGGCTACGCTCTTTCTCCCGATTCCCCACTCTCCCCTCCTCCATCCCTGGACCCTGTGACTTGGGAATGTCTCTAGGTGAGAGTGCCATCACCAGCCACTGCGTGCTTGTTGTGATCAGCGTCGCTCTCTCTGAACTGGCTACGCTCTTTCTCCCGATTCCCCACTCTCCCCTCCTCCATCCCTGGACCCTGTGACTTGGGAATGTCTCGAGGTGAGAGTGCCATCACCAGCCACTGCGTGCTTGTTGTGATCAGCGTCGCTCTCTCTGAACTGGCTACGCTCTTTCTCCCGATTCCCCACTCTCCCCTCCTCCACCCCTGGACCCTGTGACTTGCGAATGTCTCGAGGTGAGAGTGCCATCACCAGCCACTGCGTGCTTGTTGTGATCAGCGTCGCTCTCTCTGAACTGGCTACGCTCTTTCTCCCGATTCCCCACTCTCCCCTCCTCCATCCCTGGACCCTGTGACTTGGGAATGTCTCGAGGTGATAGTCCCATCACCAGCCACTGCGTGCTTGTTGTGATCAGCGTCGCTCTCTCTGAACTGGCTACGCTCTTTCTCCCGATTCCCCACTCTCCCCTCCTCCATCCCTGGACCCTGTGACTTGGGAATGTCTCGAGGTGAGAGTGCCATCACCAGCCACTGCGTGCTTGTTGTGATCAGCGTCGCTCTCTCTGAACTGGCTACGCTCTTTCTCCCGATTCCCCACTCTCCCCTCCTCCATCCCTGGACCCTGTGACTTGGGAATGTCTCGAGGTGAGAGTGCCATCACCAGCCACTGCGTGCTTGTTGTGATCAGCGTCGCTCTCTCTGAACTGGCTACGCTCTTTCTCCCGATTCCCCACTCTCCCCTCCTCCATCCCTGGACCCTGTGACTTGGGAATGTCTCGAGGTGAGAGTGCCATCACCAGCCACTGCGTGCTTGTTGTGATCAGCGTCGCTCTCTCTGAACTGGCTACGCTCTTTCTCCCGATTCCCCACTCTCCCCTCCTCCATCCCTGGACCCTGTGACTTGGGAATGTCTCGAGGTGATAGTCCCATCACCAGCCACTGCGTGCTTGTTGTGATCAGCGTCGCTCTCTCTGAACTGGCTACGCTCTTTCTCCCGATTCCCCACTCTCCCCTCCTCCATCCCTGGACCCTGTGACTTGGGAATGTCTCGAGGTGAGAGTCCCATCACCAGCCACTGCGTGCTTGTTGTGATCAGCGTCGCTCTCTCTGAACTGGCTACGCTCTTTCTCCCGATTCCCCACTCTCCCCTCCTCCATCCCTGGACCCTGTGACTTGGGAATGTCTCGAGGTGAGAGTGCCATCACCAGCCACTGCGTGCTTGTTGTGATCAGCGTCGCTCTCTCTGAACTGGCTACGCTCTTTCTCCCGATTCCCCACTCTCCCCTCCTCCATCCCTGGACCCTGTGACTTGGGAATGTCTCGAGGTGAGAGTGCCATCACCAGCCACTGCGTGCTTGTTGTGATCAGCGTCGCTCTCTCTGAACTGGCTACGCTCTTTCTCCCGATTCCCCACTCTCCCCTCCTCCATCCCTGGACCCTGTGACTTGGGAATGTCTCGAGGTGAGAGTGCCATCACCAGCCACTGCGTGCTTGTTGTGATCAGCGTCGCTCTCTCTGAACTGGCTACGCTCTTTCTCCCGATTCCCCACTCTCCCCTCCTCCACCCCTGGACCCTGTGACTTGCGAATGTCTCGAGGTGAGAGTGCCATCACCAGCCACTGCGTGCTTGTTGTGATCAGCGTCGCTCTCTCTGAACTGGCTACGCTCTTTCTCCCGATTCCCCACTCTCCCCTCCTCCATCCCTGGACCCTGTGACTTGGGAATGTCTCGAGGTGATAGTCCCATCACCAGCCACTGCGTGCTTGTTGTGATCAGCGTCGCTCTCTCTGAACTGGCTACGCTCTTTCTCCCGATTCCCCACTCTCCCCTCCTCCATCCCTGGACCCTGTGACTTGGGAATGTCTCGAGGTGAGAGTGCCATCACCAGCCACTGCGTGCTTGTTGTGATCAGCGTCGCTCTCTCTGAACTGGCTACGCTCTTTCTCCCGATTCCCCACTCTCCCCTCCTCCATCCCTGGACCCTGTGACTTGGGAATGTCTCGAGGTGATAGTCCCATCACCAGCCACTGCGTGCTTGTTGTGATCAGCGTCGCTCTCTCTGAACTGGCTACGCTCTTTCTCCCGATTCCCCACTCTCCCCTCCTCCATCCCTGGACCCTGTGACTTGGGAATGTCTCGAGGTGAGAGTGCCATCACCAGCCACTGCGTGCTTGTTGTGATCAGCGTCGCTCTCTCTGAACTGGCTACGCTCTTTCTCCCGATTCCCCACTCTCCCCTCCTCCATCCCTGGACCCTGTGACTTGGGAATGTCTCGAGGTGAGAGTGCCATCACCAGCCACTGCGTGCTTGTTGTGATCAGCGTCGCTCTCTCTGAACTGGCTACGCTCTTTCTCCCGATTCCCCACTCTCCCCTCCTCCACCCCTGGACCCTGTGACTTGGGAATGTCTCGAGGTGAGAGTGCCATCACCAGCCACTGCGTGCTTGTTGTGATCAGCGTCGCTCTCTCTGAACTGGCTACGCTCTTTCTCCCGATTCCCCACTCTCCCCTCCTCCATCCCTGGACCCTGTGACTTGGGAATGTCTCGAGGTGAGAGTGCCATCACCAGCCACTGCGTGCTTGTTGTGATCAGCGTCGCTCTCTCTGAACTGGCTACGCTCTTTCTCCCGATTCCCCACTCTCCCCTCCTCCATCCCTGGACCCTGTGACTTGGGAATGTCTCGAGGTGAGAGTGCCATCACCAGCCACTGCGTGCTTGTTGTGATCAGCGTCGCTCTCTCTGAACTGGCTACGCTCTTTCTCCCGATTCCCCACTCTCCCCTCCTCCATCCCTGGACCCTGTGACTTGGGAATGTCTCGAGGTGAGAGTGCCATCACCAGCCACTGCGTGCTTGTTGTGATCAGCGTCGCTCTCTCTGAACTGGCTACGCTCTTTCTCCCGATTCCCCACTCTCCCCTCCTCCATCCCTGGACCCTGTGACTTGGGAATGTCTCGAGGTGAGAGTGCCATCACCAGCCACTGCGTGCTTGTTGTGATCAGCGTCGCTCTCTCTGAACTGGCTACGCTCTTTCTCCCGATTCCCCACTCTCCCCTCCTCCACCCCTGGACCCTGTGACTTGTCTCGAGGTGAGAGTGCCATCACCAGCCACTGCGTGCTTGTTGTGATCAGCGTCGCTCTCTCTGAACTGGCTACGCTCTTTCTCCCGATTCCCCACTCTCCCCTCCTCCATCCCTGGACCCTGTGACTTGGGAATGTCTCGAGGTGATAGTCCCATCACCAGCCACTGCGTGCTTGTTGTGATCAGCGTCGCTCTCTCTGAACTGGCTACGCTCTTTCTCCCGATTCCCCACTCTCCCCTCCTCCATCCCTGGACCCTGTGACTTGGCAATGTCTCGAGGTGAGAGTGCCATCACCAGCCACTGCGTGCTTGTTGTGATCAGCGTCGCTCTCTCTGAACTGGCTACGCTCTTTCTCCCGATTCCCCACTCTCCCCTCCTCCATCCCTGGACCCTGTGACTTGGGAATGTCTCGAGGTGAGAGTGCCATCACCAGCCACTGCGTGCTTGTTGTGATCAGCGTCGCTCTCTCTGAACTGGCTACGCTCTTTCTCCCGATTCCCCACTCTCCCCTCCTCCATCCCTGGACCCTGTGACTTGGGAATGTCTCTAGGTGAGAGTGCCATCACCAGCCACTGCGTGCTTGTTGTGATCAGCGTCGCTCTCTCTGAACTGGCTACGCTCTTTCTCCCGATTCCCCACTCTCCCCTCCTCCATCCCTGGACCCTGTGACTTGGGAATGTCTCGAGGTGAGAGTGCCATCACCAGCCACTGCGTGCTTGTTGTGATCAGCGTCGCTCTCTCTGAACTGGCTACGCTCTTTCTCCCGATTCCCCACTCTCCCCTCCTCCATCCCTGGACCCTGTGACTTGGGAATGTCTCTAGGTGAGAGTGCCATCACCAGCCACTGCGTGCTTGTTGTGATCAGCGTCGCTCTCTCTGAACTGGCTACGCTCTTTCTCCCGATTCCCCACTCTCCCCTCCTCCATCCCTGGACCCTGTGACTTGGGAATGTCTCGAGGTGAGAGTGCCATCACCAGCCACTGCGTGCTTGTTGTGATCAGCGTCGCTCTCTCTGAACTGGCTACGCTCTTTCTCCCGATTCCCCACTCTCCCCTCCTCCATCCCTGGACCCTGTGACTTGGGAATGTCTCGAGGTGAGAGTGCCATCACCAGCCACTGCGTGCTTGTTGTGATCAGCGTCGCTCTCTCTGAACTGGCTACGCTCTTTCTCCCGATTCCCCACTCTCCCCTCCTCCATCCCTGGACCCTGTGACTTGGGAATGTCTCGAGGTGATAGTCCCATCACCAGCCACTGCGTGCTTGTTGTGATCAGCGTCGCTCTCTCTGAACTGGCTACGCTCTTTCTCCCGATTCCCCACTCTCCCCTCCTCCATCCCTGGACCCTGTGACTTGGGAATGTCTCTAGGTGAGAGTGCCATCACCAGCCACTGCGTGCTTGTTGTGATCAGCGTCGCTCTCTCTGAACTGGCTACGCTCTTTCTCCCGATTCCCCACTCTCCCCTCCTCCATCCCTGGACCCTGTGACTTGGGAATGTCTCGAGGTGAGAGTGCCATCACCAGCCACTGCGTGCTTGTTGTGATCAGCGTCGCTCTCTCTGAACTGGCTACGCTCTTTCTCCCGATTCCCCACTCTCCCCTCCTCCACCCCTGGACCCTGTGACTTGCGAATGTCTCGAGGTGAGAGTGCCATCACCAGCCACTGCGTGCTTGTTGTGATCAGCGTCGCTCTCTCTGAACTGGCTACGCTCTTTCTCCCGATTCCCCACTCTCCCCTCCTCCATCCCTGGACCCTGTGACTTGGGAATGTCTCGAGGTGAGAGTGCCATCACCAGCCACTGCGTGCTTGTTGTGATCAGCGTCGCTCTCTCTGAACTGGCTACGCTCTTTCTCCCGATTCCCCACTCTCCCCTCCTCCATCCCTGGACCCTGTGACTTGGGAATGTCTCGAGGTGAGAGTGCCATCACCAGCCACTGCGTGCTTGTTGTGATCAGCGTCGCTCTCTCTGAACTGGCTACGCTCTTTCTCCCGATTCCCCACTCTCCCCTCCTCCATCCCTGGACCCTGTGACTTGGGAATGTCTCGAGGTGATAGTCCCATCACCAGCCACTGCGTGCTTGTTGTGATCAGCGTCGCTCTCTCTGAACTGGCTACGCTCTTTCTCCCGATTCCCCACTCTCCCCTCCTCCATCCCTGGACCCTGTGACTTGGGAATGTCTCGAGGTGAGAGTGCCATCACCAGCCACTGCGTGCTTGTTGTGATCAGCGTCGCTCTCTCTGAACTGGCTACGCTCTTTCTCCCGATTCCCCACTCTCCCCTCCTCCATCCCTGGACCCTGTGACTTGGGAATGTCTCGAGGTGAGAGTGCCATCACCAGCCACTGCGTGCTTGTTGTGATCAGCGTCGCTCTCTCTGAACTGGCTACGCTCTTTCTCCCGATTCCCCACTCTCCCCTCCTCCATCCCTGGACCCTGTGACTTGGGAATGTCTCGAGGTGAGAGTGCCATCACCAGCCACTGCGTGCTTGTTGTGATCAGCGTCGCTCTCTCTGAACTGGCTACGCTCTTTCTCCCGATTCCCCACTCTCCCCTCCTCCATCCCTGGACCCTGTGACTTGGGAATGTCTCGAGGTGAGAGTGCCATCACCAGCCACTGCGTGCTTGTTGTGATCAGCGTCGCTCTCTCTGAACTGGCTACGCTCTTTCTCCCGATTCCCCACTCTCCCCTCCTCCATCCCTGGACCCTGTGACTTGGGAATGTCTCGAGGTGATAGTCCCATCACCAGCCACTGCGTGCTTGTTGTGATCAGCGTCGCTCTCTCTGAACTGGCTACGCTCTTTCTCCCGATTCCCCACTCTCCCCTCCTCCATCCCTGGACCCTGTGACTTGGGAATGTCTCGAGGTGAGAGTGCCATCACCAGCCACTGCGTGCTTGTTGTGATCAGCGTCGCTCTCTCTGAACTGGCTACGCTCTTTCTCCCGATTCCCCACTCTCCCCTCCTCCATCCCTGGACCCTGTGACTTGGGAATGTCTCGAGGTGAGAGTGCCATCACCAGCCACTGCGTGCTTGTTGTGATCAGCGTCGCTCTCTCTGAACTGGCTACGCTCTTTCTCCCGATTCCCCACTCTCCCCTCCTCCATCCCTGGACCCTGTGACTTGGGAATGTCTCGAGGTGAGAGTGCCATCACCAGCCACTGCGTGCTTGTTGTGATCAGCGTCGCTCTCTCTGAACTGGCTACGCTCTTTCTCCCGATTCCCCACTCTCCCCTCCTCCATCCCTGGACCCTGTGACTTGGGAATGTCTCGAGGTGAGAGTGCCATCACCAGCCACTGCGTGCTTGTTGTGATCAGCGTCGCTCTCTCTGAACTGGCTACGCTCTTTCTCCCGATTCCCCACTCTCCCCTCCTCCATCCCTGGACCCTGTGACTTGGGAATGTCTCGAGGTGAGAGTGCCATCACCAGCCACTGCGTGCTTGTTGTGATCAGCGTCGCTCTCTCTGAACTGGCTACGCTCTTTCTCCCGATTCCCCACTCTCCCCTCCTCCATCCCTGGACCCTGTGACTTGGGAATGTCTCGAGGTGATAGTCCCATCACCAGCCACTGCGTGCTTGTTGTGATCAGCGTCGCTCTCTCTGAACTGGCTACGCTCTTTCTCCCGATTCCCCACTCTCCCCTCCTCCATCCCTGGACCCTGTGACTTGGGAATGTCTCGAGGTGAGAGTGCCATCACCAGCCACTGCGTGCTTGTTGTGATCAGCGTCGCTCTCTCTGAACTGGCTACGCTCTTTCTCCCGATTCCCCACTCTCCCCTCCTCCATCCCTGGACCCTGTGACTTGGGAATGTCTCGAGGTGAGAGTGCCATCACCAGCCACTGCGTGCTTGTTGTGATCAGCGTCGCTCTCTCTGAACTGGCTACGCTCTTTCTCCCGATTCCCCACTCTCCCCTCCTCCATCCCTGGACCCTGTGACTTGGGAATGTCTCGAGGTGAGAGTGCCATCACCAGCCACTGCGTGCTTGTTGTGATCAGCGTCGCTCTCTCTGAACTGGCTACGCTCTTTCTCCCGATTCCCCACTCTCCCCTCCTCCATCCCTGGACCCTGTGACTTGGGAATGTCTCGAGGTGAGAGTGCCATCACCAGCCACTGCGTGCTTGTTGTGATCAGCGTCGCTCTCTCTGAACTGGCTACGCTCTTTCTCCCGATTCCCCACTCTCCCCTCCTCCATCCCTGGACCCTGTGACTTGGGAATGTCTCGAGGTGATAGTCCCATCACCAGCCACTGCGTGCTTGTTGTGATCAGCGTCGCTCTCTCTGAACTGGCTACGCTCTTTCTCCCGATTCCCCACTCTCCCCTCCTCCATCCCTGGACCCTGTGACTTGGGAATGTCTCGAGGTGAGAGTGCCATCACCAGCCACTGCGTGCTTGTTGTGATCAGCGTCGCTCTCTCTGAACTGGCTACGCTCTTTCTCCCGATTCCCCACTCTCCCCTCCTCCATCCCTGGACCCTGTGACTTGGGAATGTCTCGAGGTGAGAGTGCCATCACCAGCCACTGCGTGCTTGTTGTGATCAGCGTCGCTCTCTCTGAACTGGCTACGCTCTTTCTCCCGATTCCCCACTCTCCCCTCCTCCATCCCTGGACCCTGTGACTTGGGAATGTCTCGAGGTGAGAGTGCCATCACCAGCCACTGCGTGCTTGTTGTGATCAGCGTCGCTCTCTCTGAACTGGCTACGCTCTTTCTCCCGATTCCCCACTCTCCCCTCCTCCATCCCTGGACCTTGTGACTTGGGAATGTCTCGAGGTGAGAGTGCCATCACCAGCCACTGCGTGCTTGTTGTGATCAGCGTCGCTCTCTCTGAACTGGCTACGCTCTTTCTCCCGATTCCCCACTCTCCCCTCCTCCATCCCTGGACCCTGTGACTTGGGAATGTCTCGAGGTGAGAGTGCCATCACCAGCCACTGCGTGCTTGTTGTGATCAGCGTCGCTCTCTCTGAACTGGCTACGCTCTTTCTCCCCATTCCCCACTCTCCCCTCCTCCATCCCTGGACCCTGTGACTTGGGAATGTCTCGAGGTGAGAGTGCCATCACCAGCCACTGCGTGCTTGTTGTGATCAGCGTCGCTCTCTCTGAACTGGCTACGCTCTTTCTCCCGATTCCCCACTCTCCCCTCCTCCATCCCTGGACCCTGTGACTTGGGAATGTCTCGAGGTGAGAGTGCCATCACCAGCCACTGCGTGCTTGTTGTGATCAGCGTCGCTCTCTCTGAACTGGCTACGCTCTTTCTCCCCATTCCCCACTCTCCCCTCCTCCATCCCTGGACCCTGTGACTTGGGAATGTCTCGAGGTGAGAGTGCCATCACCAGCCACTGCGTGCTTGTTGTGATCAGCGTCGCTCTCTCTGAACTGGCTACGCTCTTTCTCCCGATTCCCCACTCTCCCCTCCTCCATCCCTGGACCCTGTGACTTGGGAATGTCTCGAGGTGAGAGTGCCATCACCAGCCACTGCGTGCTTGTTGTGATCAGCGTCGTTCTCTCTGAACTGGCTACGCTCTTTCTCCCGATTCCCCACTCTCCCCTCCTCCATCCCTGGACCCTGTGACTTGGGAATGTCTCGAGGTGAGAGTGCCATCACCAGCCACTGCGTGCTTGTTGTGATCAGCGTCGCTCTCTCTGAACTGGCTACGCTCTTTCTCCCGATTCCCCACTCTCCCCTCCTCCATCCCTGGACCCTGTGACTTGGGAATGTCTCGAGGTGAGAGTGCCATCACCAGCCACTGCGTGCTTGTTGTGATCAGCGTCGCTCTCTCTGAACTGGCTACGCTCTTTCTCCCGATTCCCCACTCTCCCCTCCTCCATCCCTGGACCCTGTGACTTGGGAATGTCTCGAGGTGAGAGTGCCATCACCAGCCACTGCGTGCTTGTTGTGATCAGCGTCGCTCTCTCTGAACTGGCTACGCTCTTTCTCCCGATTCCCCACTCTCCCCTCCTCCATCCCTGGACCCTGTGACTTGGGAATGTCTCGAGGTGAGAGTGCCATCACCAGCCACTGCGTGCTTGTTGTGATCAGCGTCGCTCTCTCTGAACTGGCTACGCTCTTTCTCCCGATTCCCCACTCTCCCCTCCTCCATCCCTGGACCCTGTGACTTGGGAATGTCTCGAGGTGAGAGTGCCATCACCAGCCACTGCGTGCTTGTTGTGATCAGCGTCGCTCTCTCTGAACTGGCTACGCTCTTTCTCCCGATTCCCCACTCTCCCCTCCTCCATCCCTGGACCTTGTGACTTGGGAATGTCTCGAGGTGAGAGTGCCATCACCAGCCACTGCGTGCTTGTTGTGATCAGCGTCGCTCTCTCTGAACTGGCTACGCTCTTTCTCCCGATTCCCCACTCTCCCCTCCTCCATCCCTGGACCCTGTGACTTGGGAATGTCTCGAGGTGAGAGTGCCATCACCAGCCACTGCGTGCTTGTTGTGATCAGCGTCGCTCTCTCTGAACTGGCTACGCTCTTTCTCCCCATTCCCCACTCTCCCCTCCTCCATCCCTGGACCCTGTGACTTGGGAATGTCTCGAGGTGAGAGTGCCATCACCAGCCACTGCGTGCTTGTTGTGATCAGCGTCGCTCTCTCTGAACTGGCTACGCTCTTTCTCCCCATTCCCCACTCTCCCCTCCTCCATCCCTGGACCCTGTGACTTGGGAATGTCTCGAGGTGAGAGTGCCATCACCAGCCACTGCGTGCTTGTTGTGATCAGCGTCGCTCTCTCTGAACTGGCTACGCTCTTTCTCCCCATTCCCCACTCTCCCCTCCTCCATCCCTGGACCCTGTGACTTGGGAATGTCTCGAGGTGAGAGTGCCATCACCAGCCACTGCGTGCTTGTTGTGATCAGCGTCGCTCTCTCTGAACTGGCTACGCTCTTTCTCCCGATTCCCCACTCTCCCCTCCTCCATCCCTGGACCCTGTGACTTGGGAATGTCTCGAGGTGAGAGTGCCATCACCAGCCACTGCGTGCTTGTTGTGATCAGCGTCGTTCTCTCTGAACTGGCTACGCTCTTTCTCCCGATTCCCCACTCTCCCCTCCTCCATCCCTGGACCCTGTGACTTGGGAATGTCTCGAGGTGAGAGTGCCATCACCAGCCACTGCGTGCTTGTTGTGATCAGCGTCGCTCTCTCTGAACTGGCTACGCTCTTTCTCCCGATTCCCCACTCTCCCCTCCTCCATCCCTGGACCCTGTGACTTGGGAATGTCTCGAGGTGAGAGTGCCATCACCAGCCACTGCGTGCTTGTTGTGATCAGCGTCGCTCTCTCTGAACTGGCTACGCTCTTTCTCCCGATTCCCCACTCTCCCCTCCTCCATCCCTGGACCCTGTGACTTGGGAATGTCTCGAGGTGAGAGTGCCATCACCAGCCACTGCGTGCTTGTTGTGATCAGCGTCGCTCTCTCTGAACTGGCTACGCTCTTTCTCCCGATTCCCCACTCTCCCCTCCTCCATCCCTGGACCCTGTGACTTGGGAATGTCTCGAGGTGAGAGTGCCATCACCAGCCACTGCGTGCTTGTTGTGATCAGCGTCGCTCTCTCTGAACTGGCTACGCTCTTTCTCCCCATTCCCCACTCTCCCCTCCTCCATCCCTGGACCCTGTGACTTGGGAATGTCTCGAGGTGAGAGTGCCATCACCAGCCACTGCGTGCTTGTTGTGATCAGCGTCGCTCTCTCTGAACTGGCTACGCTCTTTCTCCCCATTCCCCACTCTCCCCTCCTCCATCCCTGGACCCTGTGACTTGGGAATGTCTCGAGGTGAGAGTGCCATCACCAGCCACTGCGTGCTTGTTGTGATCAGCGTCGCTCTCTCTGAACTGGCTACGCTCTTTCTCCCCATTCCCCACTCTCCCCTCCTCCATCCCTGGACCCTGTGACTTGGGAATGTCTCGAGGTGATAGTCCCATCACCAGCCACTGCGTGCTTGTTGTGATCAGCGTCGCTCTCTCTGAACTGGCTACGCTCTTTCTCCCGATTCCCCACTCTCCCCTCCTCCATCCCTGGACCCTGTGACTTGGGAATGTCTCGAGGTGAGAGTGCCATCACCAGCCACTGCGTGCTTGTTGTGATCAGCGTCGTTCTCTCTGAACTGGCTACGCTCTTTCTCCCGATTCCCCACTCTCCCCTCCTCCATCCCTGGACCCTGTGACTTGGGAATGTCTCGAGGTGAGAGTGCCATCACCAGCCACTGCGTGCTTGTTGTGATCAGCGTCGCTCTCTCTGAACTGGCTACGCTCTTTCTCCCGATTCCCCACTCTCCCCTCCTCCATCCCTGGACCCTGTGACTTGGGAATGTCTCGAGGTGAGAGTGCCATCACCAGCCACTGCGTGCTTGTTGTGATCAGCGTCGCTCTCTCTGAACTGGCTACGCTCTTTCTCCCGATTCCCCACTCTCCCCTCCTCCATCCCTGGACCCTGTGACTTGGGAATGTCTCGAGGTGAGAGTGCCATCACCAGCCACTGCGTGCTTGTTGTGATCAGCGTCGCTCTCTCTGAACTGGCTACGCTCTTTCTCCCGATTCCCCACTCTCCCCTCCTCCATCCCTGGACCCTGTGACTTGGGAATGTCTCGAGGTGAGAGTGCCATCACCAGCCACTGCGTGCTTGTTGTGATCAGCGTCGCTCTCTCTGAACTGGCTACGCTCTGTGAAGATTGTGAATTGAACAAGTAATTAGATTAGAGGAACAACCTAGCATACATAGTTGGAAGGGAAGGTTGGAAGGGAAGGATGAAAGTGACCATAGGTTGGGTTGACCTCACTTGGGGAAGTGAGGGAACCATAGGTCAAGTGGGTTGGGTTGCCCACACTTTGTAGAAGTGAGGCAACCCTAGGCCCACTTGGCTTGGGGTAACCTCAATTGTGGGAAGTGAGGTACCCACAAGTCAAGAGGGTTGCATTTGGGGGCTCCACCACAATCGGGTGGATTGGCACCCCAAAGTACAAGACTACACCCAAAGTTGGGTGTAGTCCCAACCCAACTGTACACCACAATTGGTGTACAGTCACATGTGTTGGCATGCTACACAATAGATATTTTAACACAACCCCTTAGCATGCTAACACAAGAAGAGAACAACCCCTGAATCAAGGGGCGCCCGGGCGAGCAAGGCCAATGAGGCGGAGGAAGGCAGAGTGCGCGGGGCGAAGGAGGGCCTTAGTGAAGTTGTCGGCCAAGTTGGCCTCGGTTGCAATCTTGCGAACGGCAATGAGGCCCTTTTGGACGAGCTCGCGAACGAAGAAGTAGCGGAGTTCGATGTGCTTGGAGCGGGCGTGATAGACGGGGTCCTGAGTGAGATGGATGGTGCTGGCGTTGTCGCACCAGAGAGTGGGGCACGGCTGGGGGGCGCCAAGCTCCGCAAGAAGGAAGCAGAGCCAGCGCGACTCCTGGGCGGCCATGGTGCCAGCGTAGAGCTCGGCTTCGCAGGTGGAGAGAGAGATGGCGGAGGAGCGGGTGGAGCGCCAGCTGATGAGGCCGCTGCCAAGGGTGAAGCCGTAGCCCTGGGAGGAGCGGCGGTCCGGCTGCGTGTCAGCCCATGAGGAGTCACTGAAGCCCGAGAGAAGGGGACGGGAAGGGCCGCCGAGGGTGAGGGCAAGGTCCCTGGTCCCGCGAAGGTAGCGGAGGACCCGCTTGGCAGCTTTCCAGTGCTCCTCAGAGTGACGACCGGTGCCGACAAAGCGAGCGAGCACGCTGATGGGGTAGGCGAGGTCGGGGCGGGTGCACATCATTGCGTACATCAAGGACCCAACGAGCTCGGCATAGGGGTGGGGGGAGGAGGTGGGGGAGGTGGGTGGAGCGAGTTGGTGACCGAAGGGGAGCGGGGTGGAAACAGGCTTGGCTTGCGCCATGTCGAACTTCTCCAAGACCTGGCCGATGTAATGGGACTGGGAGAGGGTGATTGTGCGAGTAGGGCAGTTGCGAGTGATGGTCATGCCGAGGTAGTGAGTGAGGGCGCCAAGGTCTTTGCACTTGAGCCGCTGCTGCAGGGACAGCTTCACCTGCCCCATGTCGGCCTTGGTGTCAGAGAGCAGGATCATGTCGTCGACATATACCAGAATGAAGAAGCGGCGGGGGGAGGAGCGGATGAAGAGGCTGGCGTCGGAGTGGGAAGCAGAGAAGCCGAGGGACCCCAAGGTGGCAGCCAGCTTCGCATGCCACTCACGCGGTGCCTGCTTCAAGCCGTAGACGGGGCGACGCAGCTGCCAGACAGTGTTCTCAGGAAAGGCTGCGTGGAACCCGGGGGGTCGCCGGAGGAAAATGCGCTCATGCAGGTCGCCCTGCAGGAACGCATTGGAGACATCCATGGAGTCGATTTCCATGTCGTCACGTGCACCAATGTCCATGGCGGCGCGAAGGGTGGGTGGTTTGGCGGTGGGGGCGTAGGTGAACCAGTAGTCCTCAGCCCAAGTCTGCGTGAACCCCTTGGCGCAGTAGCGGGCCTTGTACACTGGTTCCTCGCCCGGCAGCTGCTTCACCCGAAAGACCCATTTGCCGTCAACGAGATTAGCGCCAGCAGGGAGGGGGACATCGACAAAGGAGTCGTTGCGAATGAAAGCCTCACACTCCAGGAAGATCGCTGCTATCCATTTATCCGCATCAGGGCAGGTGATGGCTTCCTGGAAGGTGGAGGGAGTGAAGATGGTGGGGGTAGTAGTGGCGCCAAGGACAGGAAAGCCCAGGAAGTCAAGGTAGAGGGCGGCAAGGAATGGAGTGTGCTCCCGAATGTTAAGAAACTCCTCATGGGAGTCCTCAAGGAGCTGAATGGAGGCAGGAGGAGGAGCCCCAAGGATTTTGTCCACAGAGCGGGTATGGATGTAAGGGAGGAGGAAGGGGGAGGAACGGGAAGTGGCACGACGCCGCTGCTGCTGCTGGTGCTGTGGAAGCTGCTGCCCTTGTTGCTGCGGCTGCGGCTGACCGTGCTGGTGCTGCGGCTGCTGAGGCTGCTGAGGCTGCTGCTGCTGCTGCCGCTGCTGCTGCTGCTGCTGCTGCTGCTGCTGCTGCTGTCCCGGTTGCCGCTGCTGCTGCTGCTGCTGGCCCGGCTGCTGCTGCTGCTGCTGCCCCGGCTGCTGTCCCGGCTGCTGCTGTTGCTGCTGCGGCTGCTGCTGCTGCTGCTGCTGCTGATCCGGCTGCTGGAAGGAGGGAGAGGGAGAGGAGGAGGGAGGGGGGGGAGGGGGTGCGGCCGAGTGAGCGGGGGAAGCGGGTGCGGCAGGGTCGTAGACATCGGCGGAGGAGGAGGGCGGGAGCGGAGCTGCGACGGGTGGGAGGAGAGGGGCTGGAGGGAGAAGGGGCGGGAGGACGGTGTCGGTCCAAGCAAGGGGACGAGTGGGAGGAGGGAGAGGATCAGGGGGAGGAGTGGAGTAATAGGGGACGGATTCGTCGAAGACGACGTCGCCGCTGCGGATGAGGCGATTGGTGGGAGGGTGGAGGAAGAGGTAGCCTGGGGAGTCGCGATTGTGCCCAAGGTAAACGCATTCCAGGGCGCGAGGAGCAAGCTTGCCAGCGGCGCGGGAGCGGTCGGCGGGTGGGATGAGAACGAAGGCCTTGCAGCCCCAAACGCGAAGGCCGGCAGCGTCGGGTTTGGCGTTGGACCAAAGCTCTGTAGGGGAGGAGGAAGGATGCTGAGGGTGGGAGCGGAGATTAAGGAGAAGAGCGGCGTGGAGGAGGGCATAGCTCCAGAGGGAAGGAAGGGTGGAGGCATGAGCAATGAGACAGCGAGCTATCTTGGTGATCTCACGAATGCGGCTCTCAGCAATGCCGTTCTGCTGAGGGGAGTGGGGAAGGGTGGAGGTCTGTTGGATGCCGTAGGTGTTGTAGTATGTGGCAAGGGTGTTATTGATGAACTCACCCCCACCGTCAGAGTGAAGGCGGCCGATGGGGCGTTTGAAGTGATTGCGGCACTGTTCGGCCCAGTTGATGACCACTGCCGGCACCTGGTCTTTCGTGTGAAGGAAGAAGGTGGTGGAGTACCGGCTGTGGTCGTCAACGAGGACGAGCATGTACCGATGCCCCTGGCGGGAGCGGATGGGATAGGGGCCCCAGAGGTCCATGTGCACAAGGTCAATGGGGGCGGCGGCGAAGGTGGGATGACTGTGGTGGGGGGACTGTTTGAGCTTGCCGTGAATGCATGAAGGGCATGGGGGAGAGGGGGAGGAGGGGAGGGGAGGTAAAACAGGAGGAAGGCTGCGGAGGAGGCGAGAGGTGACTGTGGTGCGAAGGGCGGTGAAGTTGGGATGGCCGAGTCTGTGGTGTAAGAGGACAGCAGGGTGGGAGAGGGTAGTGGAGGAGGAGGGAGATGGGGTGATGGAAGGAACGGGAGGGGAGGAGGAGGATGGTGGGGAGGGAGAAGAGGATACTTGAGGGGGAGGGGAAGGGGGAAGTAAAGGAGGAGGAGGTGGACCGGTGGAAGCACCGGAACGAGTGGTGACGTGGCAGAAGGATGGGCGAGGCGTGCGGAGTGTGTAGAGGCGAGTGCGGGGGCAAAGCGGAATGCGGAGAAGGAAGCGACCGGAGGAGGTTTGGTAGAGATCACAGTAATTGGCATAACCGGGGTAAATGGCAGTGATACCAACACCTTGGAGCTCACGGTGGGAGAGGAGGTTGTTGCGGAGAGTGGGGATGTGGAGACCTGTGACCTTACCGGAGGGGAAGGCAGTGCAAGGGAGGGTGGAGAGGTGAGTGCATGGAATGGAAAAGCTGGAATCAGCCCCATGAACCTGAGTGGGAAGTGGTAGTGGGGTGAGAGTGCCAGCGTCTTTCAGTGCGGTTTCAGTGGCTCCACTGTCAAGGACAAAGTCCAGGGTGGGAGAAGAGGGAGGAGGGGGTGGGACGGGGTACTGAAACGAAGTCTCATTGATAGCAGAGGGATACATGGCAGCGACGGACGGTGCAACACTGAGATTACCAAGGAAACTCCCAGAAGTGTAGGGAACACTGGGGGGGGCAGAGGGGAGGGAACCCCAGGGGGGAGGAGGAGGAAGGGAGGTATGAGCGGCCATGGCCGCTGCGCCGAAGGTGAGTGGCTGCTGCTGCCAGGGTGGGGGAAGGAACTGCTGCTGCTGCTGCGGCGGTGGCTGGAAGAACTGCGGCGGCGGCGGCTGCTGGGGCTGGAGAAACTGCGGCTGCTGCTGCTGCTGGTGGAAGTACAGGTGCTGCTGCTGCTGGTGCTGCTGAAACTGCTGCAGCTGTGAGGGTGGGGAGGGGGTAACCATGCGGAGGTGAGCAGGAAGGAAAGAGGGGAGGGTTTGAATGTCCACTAAGGAGGGGCGAGGTGTGACCGAGTTCCAGCGAGGAGGGGTGCCAGTGTTGCCGCGATCAAACCAGGCGTCGTCGAGTGCCTTAAAGCACGTGGTGGGGGGATGGTTGGTCTGGCCGCAAGGGGTACCTGCATGGGGACCATGGCGACGCACATATGTGCATGGGGGGAGAGTGTCAGGGCGTCCGCCTCGAGTCACAGCACCTCCAGCAGGGGCGCTGCCAGCACCACCACCACCGCCACCACGGCCACCACGGCCACCACTACCACCACCGCCACCACCACGGCCTCCACCACCACCACCGCCACCCGCTCCACGGCCTCCGCCGCCGCCGCTGCGACCACCCTGGTTGCGCGGCTGCGTAGCGTTGAGGGAGGTGGAGGAGGAGGACTGAGGGGTGGTAAGGTTGACAACGGGGGTGCGGAGCTTGACCTCCGTGTCAATGATCCACTGGACCACGTCGTCGAGGCCGGCCATGGGGTTGGCCTCAGTGAAGGCATGGAGGCGGGACTCGTAGTCCGGGGTGAGGTTGTAGAGGAGGCGGTGGATTTGCAGGGGCTCGGGGAGGGCAGCTTGGCGTGCCGCAAGGCGATCAGCGACCTCCTGCATGCGCCCAACGTAGTCAACTGCGCCATCACAAGTGGCGAGGGTGATGGAGAAGTACTCCTGGAACAGGGCGCCGACAGAGCTGATGTCGCGACGCTCGAACATGGCCTGGAGCTCGGCCCAGATGAGGGAGGCGCGCATCTCGCGAGCTTGGAAACGGCGCATGAGGGTATCAGGGAGTGCGCCGAGGAGGATGGTGCAGGCGCGGTTGTCAGCAGTGGCCCATGCGATGCTCTGAGGGAGGTAGTCCGCCATGGCCGTATTGTACTCATCAAGGAGCGGAGTTCTTCTCCGGAGTGGAGTTCTTCTCCGGCTGCTGCTGCTGTTGCCGCTGCTGCCGCTGCTGCCGCTGCTGCCGCTGCTGCCGCTGCTGGCGCTGCTGCCGCTGCTGCCGCTTCTGCCGCTGCTGCTGCTGAGAGGGAGGAGGGGGGGGGGGGAGGGGAGGAGGGGGAGGAAGATGGTGGATGCAGCTGCTGCCGCTGCTATCGCTGCTCCTGATGCTGCCGCTGCTGCCGCTGTTGCTGCTGTGGCTGCTGAGCTGTCCCGGCTGCTGCTGCGTGGGAGGAGAGGAGGAGGAAAGGGGGAGGGGGGAGGGAGAACGCAGGTGTAGCTGTGGGCGAAGCTGTTGCTGCCAATGACGCTGCTGCTGCGGGATGAGGCGGCTGCTACGAGGAACGGTCGGCGGCGGGATGCGCGGGTGGCGACGAGGGAATCGTGGCGGCGGAATGAGCGAGCGGCGACGAGGAGGGCGCGGCGGAGGGATGCGCGGGCGGCGACGGGGAAGGCGCGGCGGTGGGATGCGCGGGCGGCGACGAGGAAGGCGCGGCGGCGGGATGCGCGGGCGGCGACGAGCAGGTCGCGGCGGTAGGATGCGGGGGCGGCGATTGTTAGGTCGCGGCGACGGGATGTGCGGGCGGCGACGAGCAGGTCGCGGCAGGAGGTCGCGCGGGCGGCGACTTTAGGTCGCGGCGGCAAGGGATGCAGGCGGCGACGAGAAGGTCGCGGCGGCAAGGGGTGCAGGCGGCGACGAGAAGGTCGCGGCGGCGGGATGCGCAGGCGGCGACGCGAAGTCGCGGCGGCGGGTCGTGCAGGCGGCGACGCGAAGTCGCGGCGGCGGGTCGTGCAGGCAGCGACGAGAAGTCGCGGCGGCGGATCGTGCAGGCGGCGACGAGCGGGTCGCGGCGGCGGGATGCGTAGGCGGCGACGGGGGGTCGCGGCGATGGGGAGTGCAGGCGGCGACGCGAAGTCGCGGCGGCGGGACAGGAGGCGACGACGGGGCGTCGCGGAGGCGGGATGCGCAGGCGGCGCCGAGGAAGGCGCGGCGGCGGTGGGGGGAGGCGGCGACGCGACGTCGCGGCAGCGGGAGGGGCAGGCGACGACGGGGCGTCGCGGCGGAGGGATGCGCGGGCGACGCCGAAGTAGGCGCGGCGGCGGGAGGGAGACGGCGACGGGGGGTCGCGGCAGGGGGAGGAGGAGGCGGCGACGAGGCGTCGCGGCGGGATGTGCAGGCGGCAAAAAGAGAAGGCGCGGCGGCGGAAAAAAGGGGGAGGGGGGGGGGGGGGGGGGCAGCGACGGTGTGTCGCGGCGACGGGGGGCGGTGATGCACTCGCGGCGGTGGGACCCGCAGGCGGGGAGGGCGCAATCACGGCGGAGGGAGGGGAGGGCGGCGACGACGTAGGTCGTGCCAAGGAGATGCTAGGTTGAGCCACACGTAGGGGTTTTGTGGCTGTGGGGTGGGCCCATGGGGAAGAAAAAACTTTGAGGGAGGGAGAGAGAAGGCTTAGGAACAACTAGCTCTATACCATGTGAAGATTGTGAATTGAACAAGTAATTAGATTAGAGGAACAACCTAGCATACATAGTTGGAAGGGAAGGTTGGAAGGGAAGGATGAAAGTGACCATAGGTTGGGTTGACCTCACTTGGGGAAGTGAGGGAACCATAGGTCAAGTGGGTTGGGTTGCCCACACTTTGTAGAAGTGAGGCAACCCTAGGCCCACTTGGCTTGGGGTAACCTCAATTGTGGGAAGTGAGGTACCCACAAGTCAAGAGGGTTGCATTTGGGGGCTCCACCACAATTGGGTGGATTGGCACCCCAAAGTGCAAGACTACACCCAAAGTTGGGTGTAGTCCCAACCCAACTGTACACCACAATTGGTGTACAGTCACATGTGTTGGCATGCTACACAATAGATATTTTAACACGCTCTTTCTCCCGATTCCCCACTCTCCCCTCCTCCATCCCTGGACCCTGTGACTTGGGAATGTCTCGAGGTGAGAGTGCCATCACCAGCCACTGCGTGCTTGTTGTGATCAGCGTCGCTCTCTCTGAACTGGCTACGCTCTTTCTCCCGATTCCCCACTCTCCCCTCCTCCATCCCTGGACCCTGTGACTTGGGAATGTCTCGAGGTGAGAGTGCCATCACCAGCCACTGCGTGCTTGTTGTGATCAGCGTCGCTCTTTCTGAACTGGCTACGCTCTTTCTCCCGATTCCCCACTCTCCCCTCCTCCATCCCTGGACCCTGTGACTTGGGAATGTCTCGAGGTGAGAGTCCCATCACCAGCCACTGCGTGCTTGTTGTGATCAGCGTCGCTCTCTCTGAACTGGCTACGCTCTTTCTCCCGATTCCCCACTCTCCCCTCCTCCATCCCTGGACCCTGTGACTTGGGAATGTCTCGAGGTGAGAGTGCCATCACCAGCCACTGCGTGCTTGTTGTGATCAGCGTCGCTCTCTCTGAACTGGCTACGCTCTTTCTCCCGATTCCCCACTCTCCCCTCCTCCATCCCTGGACCCTGTGACTTGGGAATGTCTCGAGGTGAGAGTGCCATCACCAGCCACTGCGTGCTTGTTGTGATCAGCGTCGCTCTCTCTGAACTGGCTACGCTCTTTCTCCCCATTCCCCACTCTCCCCTCCTCCATCCCTGGACCCTGTGACTTGGGAATGTCTCGAGGTGAGAGTGCCATCACCAGCCACTGCGTGCTTGTTGTGATCAGCGTCGCTCTCTCTGAACTGGCTACGCTCTTTCTCCCCATTCCCCACTCTCCCCTCCTCCATCCCTGGACCCTGTGACTTGGGAATGTCTCGAGGTGAGAGTGCCATCACCAGCCACTGCGTGCTTGTTGTGATCAGCGTCGCTCTCTCTGAACTGGCTACGCTCTTTCTCCCCATTCCCCACTCTCCCCTCCTCCATCCCTGGACCCTGTGACTTGGGAATGTCTCGAGGTGAGAGTGCCATCACCAGCCACTGCGTGCTTGTTGTGATCAGCGTCGCTCTCTCTGAACTGGCTACGCTCTTTCTCCCGATTCCCCACTCTCCCCTCCTCCATCCCTGGACCCTGTGACTTGGGATTGTCTCGAGGTGAGAGTGCCATCACCAGCCACTGCGTGCTTGTTGTGATCAGCGTCGCTCTCTCTGAACTGGCTACGCTCTTTCTCCCGATTCCCCACTCTCCCCTCCTCCATCCCTGGACCCTGTGACTTGGGAATGTCTCGAGGTGAGAGTGCCATCACCAGCCACTGCGTGCTTGTTGTGATCAGCGTCGCTCTCTCTGAACTGGCTACGCTCTTTCTCCCGATTCCCCACTCTCCCCTCCTCCATCCCTGGACCCTGTGACTTGGGAATGTCTCGAGGTGAGAGTGCCATCACCAACCACTGCGTGCTTGTTGTGATCAGCGTCGCTCTCTCTGAACTGGCTACGCTCTTTCTCCCGATTCCCCACTCTCCCCTCCTCCATCCCTGGACCCTGTGACTTGGGAATGTCTCGAGGTGAGAGTCCCATCACCAGCCACTGCGTGCTTGTTGTGATCAGCGTCGCTCTCTCTGAACTGGCTACGCTCTTTCTCCCCATTCCCCACTCTCCCCTCCTCCATCCCTGGACCCTGTGACTTGGGAATGTCTCGAGGTGAGAGTGCCATCACCAGCCACTGCGTGCTTGTTGTGATCAGCGTCGCTCTCTCTGAACTGGCTACGCTCTTTCTCCCGATTCCCCACTCTCCCCTCCTCCATCCCTGGACCCTGTGACTTGGGAATGTCTCGAGGTGAGAGTGCCATCACCAGCCACTGCGTGCTTGTTGTGATCAGCGTCGCTCTCTCTGAACTGGCTACGCTCTTTCTCCCGATTCCCCACTCTCCCCTCCTCCATCCCTGGACCCTGTGACTTGGGAATGTCTCGAGGTGAGAGTGCCATCACCAGCCACTGCGTGCTTGTTGTGATCAGCGTCGCTCTCTCTGAACTGGCTACGCTCTTTCTCCCGATTCCCCACTCTCCCCTCCTCCATCCCTGGACCCTGTGACTTGGGAATGTCTCGAGGTGAGAGTGCCATCACCAGCCACTGCGTGCTTGTTGTGATCAGCGTCGCTCTCTCTGAACTGGCTACGCTCTTTCTCCCCATTCCCCACTCTCCCCTCCTCCATCCCTGGACCCTGTGACTTGGGAATGTCTCGAGGTGAGAGTGCCATCACCAGCCACTGCGTGCTTGTTGTGATCAGCGTCGCTCTCTCTGAACTGGCTACGCTCTTTCTCCCGATTCCCCACTCTCCCCTCCTCCATCCCTGGACCCTGTGACTTGGGAATGTCTCGAGGTGAGAGTGCCATCACCAGCCACTGCGTGCTTGTTGTGATCAGCGTCGCTCTCTCTGAACTGGCTACGCTCTTTCTCCCGATTCCCCACTCTCCCCTCCTCCATCCCTGGACCCTGTGACTTGGGAATGTCTCGAGGTGAGAGTGCCATCACCAGCCACTGCGTGCTTGTTGTGATCAGCGTCGCTCTCTCTGAACTGGCTACGCTCTTTCTCCCGATTCCCCACTCTCCCCTCCTCCATCCCTGGACCCTGTGACTTGGGAATGTCTCGAGGTGAGAGTGCCATCACCAGCCACTGCGTGCTTGTTGTGATCAGCGTCGCTCTTTCTGAACTGGCTACGCTCTTTCTCCCGATTCCCCACTCTCCCCTCCTCCATCCCTGGACCCTGTGACTTGGGAATGTCTCGAGGTGAGAGTCCCATCACCAGCCACTGCGTGCTTGTTGTGATCAGCGTCGCTCTCTCTGAACTGGCTACGCTCTTTCTCCCGATTCCCCACTCTCCCCTCCTCCATCCCTGGACCCTGTGACTTGGGAATGTCTCGAGGTGAGAGTGCCATCACCAGCCACTGCGTGCTTGTTGTGATCAGCGTCGCTCTCTCTGAACTGGCTACGCTCTTTCTCCCGATTCCCCACTCTCCCCTCCTCCATCCCTGGACCCTGTGACTTGGGAATGTCTCGAGGTGAGAGTGCCATCACCAGCCACTGCGTGCTTGTTGTGATCAGCGTCGCTCTCTCTGAACTGGCTACGCTCTTTCTCCCGATTCCCCACTCTCCCCTCCTCCATCCCTGGACCCTGTGACTTGGGAATGTCTCGAGGTGAGAGTGCCATCACCAGCCACTGCGTGCTTGTTGTGATCAGCGTCGCTCTTTCTGAACTGGCTACGCTCTTTCTCCCGATTCCCCACTCTCCCCTCCTCCATCCCTGGACCCTGTGACTTGGGAATGTCTCGAGGTGAGAGTCCCATCACCAGCCACTGCGTGCTTGTTGTGATCAGCGTCGCTCTCTCTGAACTGGCTACGCTCTTTCTCCCGATTCCCCACTCTCCCCTCCTCCATCCCTGGACCCTGTGACTTGGGAATGTCTCGAGGTGAGAGTGCCATCACCAGCCACTGCGTGCTTGTTGTGATCAGCGTCGCTCTCTCTGAACTGGCTACGCTCTTTCTCCCGATTCCCCACTCTCCCCTCCTCCATCCCTGGACCCTGTGACTTGGGAATGTCTCGAGGTGAGAGTGCCATCACCAGCCACTGCGTGCTTGTTGTGATCAGCGTCGCTCTCTCTGAACTGGCTACGCTCTTTCTCCCGATTCCCCACTCTCCCCTCCTCCATCCCTGGACCCTGTGACTTGGGAATGTCTCGAGGTGAGAGTGCCATCACCAGCCACTGCGTGCTTGTTGTGATCAGCGTCGCTCTCTCTGAACTGGCTACGCTCTTTCTCCCGATTCCCCACTCTCCCCTCCTCCATCCCTGGACCCTGTGACTTGGGAATGTCTCGAGGTGAGAGTGCCATCACCAGCCACTGCGTGCTTGTTGTGATCAGCGTCGCTCTCTCTGAACTGGCTACGCTCTTTCTCCCCATTCCCCACTCTCCCCTCCTCCATCCCTGGACCCTGTGACTTGGGAATGTCTCGAGGTGAGAGTGCCATCACCAGCCACTGCGTGCTTGTTGTGATCAGCGTCGCTCTCTCTGAACTGGCTACGCTCTTTCTCCCCATTCCCCACTCTCCCCTCCTCCATCCCTGGACCCTGTGACTTGGGAATGTCTCGAGGTGAGAGTGCCATCACCAGCCACTGCGTGCTTGTTGTGATCAGCGTCGCTCTCTCTGAACTGGCTACGCTCTTTCTCCCCATTCCCCACTCTCCCCTCCTCCATCCCTGGACCCTGTGACTTGGGAATGTCTCGAGGTGAGAGTGCCATCACCAGCCACTGCGTGCTTGTTGTGATCAGCGTCGCTCTCTCTGAACTGGCTACGCTCTTTCTCCCGATTCCCCACTCTCCCCTCCTCCATCCCTGGACCCTGTGACTTGGGATTGTCTCGAGGTGAGAGTGCCATCACCAGCCACTGCGTGCTTGTTGTGATCAGCGTCGCTCTCTCTGAACTGGCTACGCTCTTTCTCCCGATTCCCCACTCTCCCCTCCTCCATCCCTGGACCCTGTGACTTGGGAATGTCTCGAGGTGAGAGTGCCATCACCAGCCACTGCGTGCTTGTTGTGATCAGCGTCGCTCTCTCTGAACTGGCTACGCTCTTTCTCCCGATTCCCCACTCTCCCCTCCTCCATCCCTGGACCCTGTGACTTGGGAATGTCTCGAGGTGAGAGTGCCATCACCAACCACTGCGTGCTTGTTGTGATCAGCGTCGCTCTCTCTGAACTGGCTACGCTCTTTCTCCCGATTCCCCACTCTCCCCTCCTCCATCCCTGGACCCTGTGACTTGGGAATGTCTCGAGGTGAGAGTCCCATCACCAGCCACTGCGTGCTTGTTGTGATCAGCGTCGCTCTCTCTGAACTGGCTACGCTCTTTCTCCCCATTCCCCACTCTCCCCTCCTCCATCCCTGGACCCTGTGACTTGGGAATGTCTCGAGGTGAGAGTGCCATCACCAGCCACTGCGTGCTTGTTGTGATCAGCGTCGCTCTCTCTGAACTGGCTACGCTCTTTCTCCCGATTCCCCACTCTCCCCTCCTCCATCCCTGGACCCTGTGACTTGGGAATGTCTCGAGGTGAGAGTGCCATCACCAGCCACTGCGTGCTTGTTGTGATCAGCGTCGCTCTCTCTGAACTGGCTACGCTCTTTCTCCCGATTCCCCACTCTCCCCTCCTCCATCCCTGGACCCTGTGACTTGGGAATGTCTCGAGGTGAGAGTGCCATCACCAGCCACTGCGTGCTTGTTGTGATCAGCGTCGCTCTCTCTGAACTGGCTACGCTCTTTCTCCCGATTCCCCACTCTCCCCTCCTCCATCCCTGGACCCTGTGACTTGGGAATGTCTCGAGGTGAGAGTGCCATCACCAGCCACTGCGTGCTTGTTGTGATCAGCGTCGCTCTCTCTGAACTGGCTACGCTCTTTCTCCCCATTCCCCACTCTCCCCTCCTCCATCCCTGGACCCTGTGACTTGGGAATGTCTCGAGGTGAGAGTGCCATCACCAGCCACTGCGTGCTTGTTGTGATCAGCGTCGCTCTCTCTGAACTGGCTACGCTCTTTCTCCCGATTCCCCACTCTCCCCTCCTCCATCCCTGGACCCTGTGACTTGGGAATGTCTCGAGGTGAGAGTGCCATCACCAACCACTGCGTGCTTGTTGTGATCAGCGTCGCTCTCTCTGAACTGGCTACGCTCTTTCTCCCGATTCCCCACTCTCCCCTCCTCCATCCTTGGACCCTGTGACTTGGGAATGTCTCGAGGTGAGAGTGCCATCACCAGCCACTGCGTGCTTGTTGTGATCAGCGTCGCTCTCTCTGAACTGGCTACGCTCTTTCTCCCGATTCCCCACTCTCCCCTCCTCCATCCCTGGACCCTGTGACTTGGGAATGTCTCGAGGTGAGAGTGCCATCACCAGCCACTGCGTGCTTGTTGTCAGCGTCGCTCTCTCTGAACTGGCTACGCTCTTTCTCCCGATTCCCCACTCTCCCCTCCTCCATCCCTGGACCCTGTGACTTGGGAATGTCTCGAGGTGAGAGTGCCATCACCAGCCACTGCGTGCTTGTTGTGATCAGCGTCGCTCTCTCTGAACTGGCTACGCTCTTTCTCCCGATTCCCCACTCTCCCCTCCTCCATCCCTGGACCCTGTGACTTGGGAATGTCTCGAGGTGAGAGTGCCATCACCAGCCACTGCGTGCTTGTTGTGATCAGCGTCGCTCTCTCTGAACTGGCTACGCTCTTTCTCCCGATTCCCCACTCTCCCCTCCTCCATCCCTGGACCCTGTGACTTGGGAATGTCTCGAGGTGAGAGTGCCATCACCAACCACTGCGTGCTTGTTGTGATCAGCGTCGCTCTCTCTGAACTGGCTACGCTCTTTCTCCCGATTCCCCACTCTCCCCTCCTCCATCCTTGGACCCTGTGACTTGGGAATGTCTCGAGGTGAGAGTGCCATCACCAGCCACTGCGTGCTTGTTGTGATCAGCGTCGCTCTCTCTGAACTGGCTACGCTCTTTCTCCCGATTCCCCACTCTCCCCTCCTCCATCCCTGGACCCTGTGACTTGGGAATGTCTCGAGGTGAGAGTGCCATCACCAGCCACTGCGTGCTTGTTGTCAGCGTCGCTCTCTCTGAACTGGCTACGCTCTTTCTCCCGATTCCCCACTCTCCCCTCCTCCATCCCTGGACCCTGTGACTTGGGAATGTCTCGAGGTGAGAGTGCCATCACCAGCCACTGCGTGCTTGTTGTGATCAGCGTCGCTCTCTCTGAACTGGCTACGCTCTTTCTCCCGATTCCCCACTCTCCCCTCCTCCATCCCTGGACCCTGTGACTTGGGAATGTCTCGAGGTGAGAGTGCCATCACCAGCCACTGCGTGCTTGTTGTGATCAGCGTCGCTCTCTCTGAACTGGCTACGCTCTTTCTCCCGATTCCCCACTCTCCCCTCCTCCATCCCTGGACCCTGTGACTTGGGAATGTCTCGAGGTGAGAGTGCCATCACCAACCACTGCGTGCTTGTTGTGATCAGCGTCGCTCTCTCTGAACTGGCTACGCTCTTTCTCCCGATTCCCCACTCTCCCCTCCTCCATCCCTGGACCCTGTGACTTGGGAATGTCTCGAGGTGAGAGTCCCATCACCAGCCACTGCGTGCTTGTTGTGATCAGCGTCGCTCTCTCTGAACTGGCTACGCTCTTTCTCCCCATTCCCCACTCTCCCCTCCTCCATCCCTGGACCCTGTGACTTGGGAATGTCTCGAGGTGAGAGTGCCATCACCAGCCACTGCGTGCTTGTTGTGATCAGCGTCGCTCTCTCTGAACTGGCTACGCTCTTTCTCCCGATTCCCCACTCTCCCCTCCTCCATCCCTGGACCCTGTGACTTTGACTTGGGAATGTCTCGAGGTGAGAGTGCCATCACCAGCCACTGCGTGCTTGTTGTGATCAGCGTCGCTCTCTCTGAACTGGCTACGCTCTTTCTCCCGATTCCCCACTCTCCCCTCCTCCATCCCTGGACCCTGTGACTTGGGAATGTCTCGAGGTGAGAGTGCCATCACCAGCCACTGCGTGCTTGTTGTGATCAGCGTCGCTCTCTCTGAACTGGCTACGCTCTTTCTCCCGATTCCCCACTCTCCCCTCCTCCATCCCTGGACCCTGTGACTTGGGAATGTCTCGAGGTGAGAGTGCCATCACCAGCCACTGCGTGCTTGTTGTGATCAGCGTCGCTCTCTCTGAACTGGCTACGCTCTTTCTCCCCATTCCCCACTCTCCCCTCCTCCATCCCTGGACCCTGTGACTTGGGAATGTCTCGAGGTGAGAGTGCCATCACCAGCCACTGCGTGCTTGTTGTGATCAGCGTCGCTCTCTCTGAACTGGCTACGCTCTTTCTCCCGATTCCCCACTCTCCCCTCCTCCATCCCTGGACCCTGTGACTTGGGAATGTCTCGAGGTGAGAGTGCCATCACCAGCCACTGCGTGCTTGTTGTGATCAGCGTCGCTCTCTCTGAACTGGCTACGCTCTTTCTCCCGATTCCCCACTCTCCCCTCCTCCATCCCTGGACCCTGTGACTTGGGAATGTCTCGAGGTGAGAGTGCCATCACCAACCACTGCGTGCTTGTTGTGATCAGCGTCGCTCTCTCTGAACTGGCTACGCTCTTTCTCCCGATTCCCCACTCTCCCCTCCTCCATCCTTGGACCCTGTGACTTGGGAATGTCTCGAGGTGAGAGTGCCATCACCAGCCACTGTTGCTTGTTGTGATCAGCGTCGCTCTCTCTGAACTGGCTACGCTCTTTCTCCCGATTCCCCACTCTCCCCTCCTCCATCCCTGGACCCTGTGACTTGGGAATGTCTCGAGGTGAGAGTGCCATCACCAGCCACTGCGTGCTTGTTGTCAGCGTCGCTCTCTCTGAACTGGCTACGCTCTTTCTCCTGATTCCCCACTCTCCCCTCCTCCATCCCTGGACCCTGTGACTTGGGAATGTCTCGAGGTGAGAGTGCCATCACCAGCCACTGCGTGCTTGTTGTGATCAGCGTCGCTCTCTCTGAACTGGCTACGCTCTTTCTCCCGATTCCCCACTCTCCCCTCCTCCATCCCTGGACCCTGTGACTTGGGAATGTCTCGAGGTGAGAGTGCCATCACCAGCCACTGCGTCCTTGTTGTGATCAGCGTCGCTCTCTCTGAACTGGCTACGCTCTTTCTCCCGATTCCCCACTCTCCCCTCCTCCATCCCTGGACCCTGTGACTTGGGAATGTCTCGAGGTGAGAGTGCCATCACCAACCACTGCGTGCTTGTTGTGATCAGCGTCGCTCTCTCTGAACTGGCTACGCTCTTTCTCCCGATTCCCCACTCTCCCCTCCTCCATCCCTGGACCCTGTGACTTGGGAATGTCTCGAGGTGAGAGTGCCATCACCAGCCACTGCGTGCTTGTTGTGATCAGCGTCGCTCTCTCTGAACTGGCTACGCTCTTTCTCCCGATTCCCCACTCTCCCCTCCTCCATCCCTGGACCCTGTGACTTGGGAATGTCTCGAGGTGAGAGTGCCATCACCAGCCACTGCGTGCTTGTTGTCAGCGTCGCTCTCTCTGAACTGGCTACGCTCTTTCTCCCGATTCCCCACTCTCCCCTCCTCCATCCCTGGACCCTGTGACTTGGGAATGTCTCGAGGTGAGAGTCCCATCACCAGCCACTGCGTGCTTGTTGTGATCAGCGTCGCTCTCTCTGAACTGGCTACGCTCTTTCTCCCCATTCCCCACTCTCCCCTCCTCCATCCCTGGACCCTGTGACTTGGGAATGTCTCGAGGTGAGAGTGCCATCACCAGCCACTGCGTGCTTGTTGTGATCAGCGTCGCTCTCTCTGAACTGGCTACGCTCTTTCTCCCGATTCCCCACTCTCCCCTCCTCCATCCCTGGACCCTGTGACTTGGGAATGTCTCGAGGTGAGAGTGCCATCACCAGCCACTGCGTGCTTGTTGTGATCAGCGTCGCTCTCTCTGAACTGGCTACGCTCTTTCTCCCGATTCCCCACTCTCCCCTCCTCCATCCCTGGACCCTGTGACTTGGGAATGTCTCGAGGTGAGAGTGCCATCACCAGCCACTGCGTGCTTGTTGTGATCAGCGTCGCTCTCTCTGAACTGGCTACGCTCTTTCTCCCGATTCCCCACTCTCCCCTCCTCCATCCCTGGACCCTGTGACTTGGGAATGTCTCGAGGTGAGAGTGCCATCACCAGCCACTGCGTGCTTGTTGTGATCAGCGTCGCTCTCTCTGAACTGGCTACGCTCTTTCTCCCCATTCCCCACTCTCCCCTCCTCCATCCCTGGACCCTGTGACTTGGGAATGTCTCGAGGTGAGAGTGCCATCACCAGCCACTGCGTGCTTGTTGTGATCAGCGTCGCTCTCTCTGAACTGGCTACGCTCTTTCTCCCGATTCCCCACTCTCCCCTCCTCCATCCCTGGACCCTGTGACTTGGGAATGTCTCGAGGTGAGAGTGCCATCACCAGCCACTGCGTGCTTGTTGTGATCAGCGTCGCTCTCTCTGAACTGGCTACGCTCTTTCTCCCGATTCCCCACTCTCCCCTCCTCCATCCCTGGACCCTGTGACTTGGGAATGTCTCGAGGTGAGAGTGCCATCACCAGCCACTGCGTGCTTGTTGTGATCAGCGTCGCTCTCTCTGAACTGGCTACGCTCTTTCTCCCGATTCCCCACTCTCCCCTCCTCCATCCCTGGACCCTGTGACTTGGGAATGTCTCGAGGTGAGAGTGCCATCACCAACCACTGCGTGCTTGTTGTGATCAGCGTCGCTCTCTCTGAACTGGCTACGCTCTTTCTCCCGATTCCCCACTCTCCCCTCCTCCATCCCTGGACCCTGTGACTTGGGAATGTCTCGAGGTGAGAGTGCCATCACCAGCCACTGCGTGCTTGTTGTGATCAGCGTCGCTCTCTCTGAACTGGCTACGCTCTTTCTCCCGATTCCCCACTCTCCCCTCCTCCATCCCTGGACCCTGTGACTTGGGAATGTCTCGAGGTGAGAGTGCCATCACCAGCCACTGCGTGCTTGTTGTGATCAGTGTCGCTCTCTCTGAACTGGCTACGCTCTTTCTCCCGATTCCCCACTCTCCCCTCCTCCATCCCTGGACCCTGTGACTTGGGAATGTCTCGAGGTGAGAGTGCATCACCAGCCACTGCGTGCTTGTTGTGATCAGCGTCGCTCTCTCTGAACTGGCTACGCTCTTTCTCCCGATTCCCCACTCTCCCCTCCTCCATCCCTGGACCCTGTGACTTGGGAATGTCTCGAGGTGAGAGTGCCATCACCAGCCACTGCGTGCTTGTTGTGATCAGCGTCGCTCTCTCTGAACTGGCTACGCTCTTTCTCCCCATTCCCCACTCTCCCCTCCTCCATCCCTGGACCCTGTGACTTGGGAATGTCTCGAGGTGAGAGTGCCATCACCAGCCACTGCGTGCTTGTTGTGATCAGCGTCGCTCTCTCTGAACTGGCTACGCTCTTTCTCCCGATTCCCCACTCTCCCCTCCTCCATCCCTGGACCCTGTGACTTGGGAATGTCTCGGGGTGAGAGTGCCATGACCAGCCACTGCGTGCTTGTTGTGATCAGCGTCGCTCTCTCTGAACTGGCTACGCTCTTTCTCCCGATTCCCCACTCTCCCCTCCTCCACCCCTGGACCCTGTGACTTGGGAATGTCTCGAGGTGAGAGTGCCATCACCAGCCACTGCGTGCTTGTTGTGATCAGCGTCGCTCTCTCTGAACTGGCTACGCTCTTTCTCCCGATTCCCCACTCTCCCCTCCTCCATCCCTGGACCCTGTGACTTGGGAATGTCTCGAGGTGAGAGTGCCATCACCAGCCACTGCGTGCTTGTTGTGATCAGCGTCGCTCTCTCTGAACTGGCTACGCTCTTTCTCCCGATTCCCCACTCTCCCCTCCTCCATCCCTGGACCCTGTGACTTGGGAATGTCTCGAGGTGAGAGTGCCATCACCAGCCACTGCGTGCTTGTTGTGATCAGCGTCGCTCTCTCTGAACTGGCTACGCTCTTTCTCCCGATTCCCCACTCTCCCCTCCTCCATCCCTGGACCCTGTGACTTGGGAATGTCTCGAGGTGAGAGTGCCATCACCAGCCACTGCGTGCTTGTTGTGATCAGCGTCGCTCTCTCTGAACTGGCTACGCTCTTTCTCCCGATTCCCCACTCTCCCCTCCTCCATCCCTGGACCCTGTGACTTGGGAATGTCTCGAGGTGAGAGTGCCATCACCAGCCACTGCGTGCTTGTTGTGATCAGCGTCGCTCTCTCTGAACTGGCTACGCTCTTTCTCCCGATTCCCCACTCTCCCCTCCTGCATCCCTGGACCCTGTGACTTGGGAATGTCTCGAGGTGAGAGTCCCATCACCAGCCACTGCGTGCTTGTTGTGATCAGCGTCGCTCTCTCTGAACTGGCTACGCTCTTTCTCCCGATTCCCCACTCTCCCCTCCTCCATCCCTGGACCCTGTGACTTGGGAATGTCTCGAGGTGAGAGTGCCATCACCAGCCACTGCGTGCTTGTTGTGATCAGCGTCGCTCTCTCTGAACTGGCTACGCTCTTTCTCCCGATTCCCCACTCTCCCCTCCTCCATCCCTGGACCCTGTGACTTGGGAATGTCTCGAGGTGAGAGTGCCATCACCAGCCACTGCGTGCTTGTTGTGATCAGCGTCGCTCTCTCTGAACTGGCTACGCTCTTTCTCCCGATTCCCCACTCTCCCCTCCTCCATCCCTGGACCCTGTGACTTGGGAATGTCTCGAGGTGAGAGTGCCATCACCAGCCACTGCGTGCTTGTTGTGATCAGCGTCGCTCTCTCTGAACTGACTACGCTCTTTCTCCCGATTCCCCACTCTCCCCTCCTCCACCCCTGGACCCTGTGACTTGGGAATGTCTCGAGGTGAGAGTGCCATGACCAGCCACTGCGCGTTTGTTGTTACGTCCCTCTCTCTGAACTGGCTACGTTCTTCTCCTGATTCCCCACTCTCCCCACCCCCGGGACGCCCTGCGCCAGAGCTACCTTCTGCGCACATTCCCTGTTGCTCTCCCTCTTTCAACTCTCAGGGCCACTCTCTCAACTTTCTACGCTCTTTCTCCTAATCCCCCATTCCCCACTCTCCCCACCCCCGGGACGCCCTGCGCCAGAGCTACCTTCTGCGCACATTCCCTGTTGCTCTCCCTCTCTCTCAACTTGCTACGCTCTTTCTCCTAATCCCCCATTCCGCCCACCACCGCCCCCATCAGGACGCCCTGCGCCAGGGCTACCTGCTGCGCCTGCTGCGCACATTCCCCAATGCAGTCCCTCCCTCTGAACTTGCGACGATCTTTCTCCTAATCCCCCAATCCGCCCATACCCTCCCCTCCCCTGGCCCCAGGACGCCCTGCGCGCCTGCTGCGGTATGTGCCCCAGCAGCTATCTGCTGCGCCTGCTGCGCACATTCCCCAAGGCTCTCTCTTACCCGCTGTTTGTTATCTCATGCCACCGCCCCTTTACTCTCTTTCTCCCAGGACGCCCTGCGCCAGGGCTACCTGCTGCGCCTGCTGCGCACATTCCCGAAGGAGAGGTGGCTGCGCATGTGGCAGAACCTGCAGCGCGTGAAGCACCACTTTGAGTTCCAGGTGGGATTTGAAGGGAGGCTATCCTGTGTGAGCTGGTAGGCTGGGAGGTTGGTAAGCTCGTAGACTGGTGTCACTCCGGTGGGCTTGCACTCTCTTTCCCCAGGGAGAGGTGCCTGCGCATGTGGCAGAGCCTGCAGCGCGTGAAGCACCACTTTGAGTTCCAGGTGGGATTTGAAGGGAGGCTATCCTGTGTGAGCTGGTAGGCTGGGAGGTTGGTAAGCTCGTAGACTGGTGTCACTCCGGTGGGCTTGCACTCTCGTTCCCCAGGGAGAGGTGCCTGCGCATGTGGCAGAGCCTGCAGCGCGTGAAGCACCACTTTGAGTTCCAGGTGGGATTTGAAGGGAGGCTATCCTGTGTGAGCTGGTAGGCTGGGAGGTTGGTAAGCTCGTAGACTGGTGTCACTCCAGTGGGCTTGCACTCTCGTTCCCCAGGGAGAGGTGCCTGCGCATGTGGCAGAGCCTGCAGCGCGTGAAGCACCACTTTGAGTTCCAGGTGGGGTTTGAGTGGAGGCTATCCTGTGTGAGCTGGTAGGCTGGGAGGTTGGTAAGCTCGTAGACTGGTGTCACTCCGGTGGGCTTGCACTCTCGTTCCCCAGGGAGAGGTGCCTGCGCATGTGGCAGAGCCTGCAGCGCGTGAAGCACCACCTTGAATTTGAGGGTGGGATTTCAGGTTCTGCTGGGTGCTTTCCAAGGTGGGTGTATAGGCTGCCTGTATGGGTTTGACAGCTTCAGCTGTCATGGCAGACCTGAGTGTGTTATTGTAGAATTGTATCCTGACAGTAAGACTGTTGAACCATCTCCCCTCTCCCTCTCCCTCCTACACCATCTCATTCTGCAGTACCCATCGCAACCTGGTGACGCGGTCAGCATGGTGTGGAGGGAAATCCGCAAGAAGCTTCCTCACGTGCGGCTGGCAATCCACAGGGGGAAGCGGCTAGTGGTGCGTGATTGGACCAATGTGTGACATTTCTGGGGAAATCCCCCTTATGATTCGGGAAAATCCAAAAATCGTAGAATGTGTAGTGTAGAAATATGGTACATGTTTTGGAGAAAGTGAGGTGGCAAGTTGTGTTGTATGCATGTCTGGACAGGCAAAACTCAAGCTAGGCTAGCATGGATTAGGAATGTATCCTAGCAGCGTCACTAATCCCTAACGGAATGCGTATGGTTATGGTATGGGTGGTACGAACTACACCGTAACACCAAGTGGGTGGTTATAAATGTAACAGACTGCCATGGGGGGCGTGCATGTCAAGAATGAAAGTGTTAGTTCATTGATGTGGGTTGGGGTACATATAACAAACCCTAACATCTGTACCCCCTAAAACAAACCTCACTACAGGCTACAACATTTGACACACCCCCATAGCCTAAGTGAGGGGTGTCAAGCAAAAACCATAAGTGTACGGTCACAAGACCAGTCACAAAGAAACAAAGCTCAGGGTGGATCACAACGTCACCACACACTCTGAGCACAAGCAACAGGGGCCACAAGGCCAGTTCGAGAGTTCACAAGTGTGTATAGCAAGAGTACAAGCAAAGCAAACAGTAGGCTCAAGCCTATACACGACTAGAAACTGTGTCAACAAGGCCTAACTGCACACAACACCTCTGGTGGTCACAAGGCGGAAGCGCCTTGGTGAAGATGTCTGCAGTGTTGGCCTCGGACTCCACAAACTCGAAGCGAGCCTGTCCACGTCTCTGCAACTCTCGCAGAAAAAAGTACCTGACGTTTATGTGCTTCACTCTGCTCTCCAGTCGCGGCTCTCGACAGAGGAGAATCGACGCCTTGTTGTCAGTGAACAAGGTCGGTGCAGAGCTCGGCCGCTCACCAAGGTCGGCGAGCAAGAAGGTCAACCAACGCAGCTCATGTGCCGCCATGGCACCAGCGTAGATCTCAGCCTCAGCTGTAGAGGTCGAGACCGAAGAGGAGCGCGTGGACCGCCACGAAACAGCTCCAGAACCCAAGCTGAAACAGTACCCCTAAGTAGACCTATGAGTCTCAGCGTCGTCAGCGTAAGAAGAGTCACAGTGACCAGTAAGTACGACAGGCTGCTGCCCTCCAAGAACTAGCTCCACGCCTGATGTCGTCGCTAGGTACTTCGCCACCCTCACAGCTGCCGTCCAGTGAACAGGACGGTGTCTCCCTGGCGCAACAAAGCGAGCAAGGATGCTGAGAGGGAAGGCGAGGTCCGGGCGAGAGCAAGTCATCAGGTACATGAGGCAGCCCACCAGCTCTGCGTAGGGACCACTAGACTCAAACGGCTCGTCAGGAAAGGGTCCAGTAAGTCTGTGGTCAACAGCAAGAGGTGTGCGCTGTACTGTGGAGTGCTGAAGTTCGAACCGCTGAAGGACCTGCTGCACCATGTGTGACTGTGAGAGTGTAATGGTGCGAGCAGCTCTGTCCCTGGTGATCTGCAGGCCAAGGTAGTGGTGCAGCTCACCAAGGTCAGTGCACGTGTGTCTCTTCTGCAGTTCGGACTTCACGTCTGCCAAGGCAACCCTGTCAGCAGTGGCGAAAACCAGGTCGTCGACGTAGACCAGAACAAAGAACGGTGTGGAGCCACGACGAACGAACAACGACGGGTCGGCAGAAGACGGCTGGAACCCAAGGTCAGAGAGGGTAGAACGAAGAGTGTCGTGCCACTCACGAGGAGCCTGACGAAGACCGTAGACAGGTCGCCTCAGCCTCCACTGGGTCCCAGGAGGGAAAGTGTCAGTGAAGGCAGAGGGACGACGCAGCCAGACCTCCTCGTGTAAGCTACCTTGAAGGAAAGCAGTGGAGAAGTCGAGAGAGTGTAACTCGTAGTCTCTCTGTGCTGCTACGTGCAGTAACGCCTGAAGAGTGGTCATCTTTGGGGTATGCGCGAATGTCTGAAAGAAGTCAACTCCCTCGCGCTGACTGAAACCTCTAGCCACGTAGCGCGCCTTGAATACCGGAGGAGATCCCGGTGGCCGCTTCACCCTGTAGATCCACATGCCATCAACTACGTTCGCCCCAGGGGGGGGGGAACCTCGTTGACGTAGGTGCCTGTGGATCTGTAGGAGGCCATCTCTGCGTCCATGGCAGCTCTCCACTGAGAGGCCCAAGGCCCTGACACTGCCTCAGCGTAAGTGCGAGGAGTCGGTATGTCAAGGGCGTCGGGGTCTCCCTCAGGGGCGAGCAGCATGGCACAGAGATGTGGGGAAGCGGCTGCCAGGAACTCTAGCTCAAACTGCCTGTCCTCTAGGGCGTCACAGCCAAGGGCAGACTCACCCCCGACGGCCAGAGGACTGGTAGGAGGAGCAGCCACAAGACAGGTGGCGTAGTCAAGGCGGCGAGTGGAGGCAAACTCAGTGACTGCGGCAGTAAGGGCGGAGACAGAGGAGACAGAGGCACGAGGGTCGGTAACAAGAGAGGCGAGAACACGAGAGAGAACAGGACGGTACGTGCGGTAGTAGAGAGAGAAGAAGTGAAGGCTGACTCAGGAGGAGACGGAAGGAGAGACGGAGACGAACGAGGCGGACTAGAACAAAAGAGGGCAGTACGAAGGTCAGTAACGAGAACAGGAGACGAGGGACGAGCACGAGGGGAGCAACGAGAGGCCCAAGTCTGAGGAGGAGGGGACAACGGAGGCTGAGAACGAGGGAAAACAGCCGGGGAGGGGTCAGGAGGAGGAAGCGGAGGACCCGAGATGGGAGGAGAGGGGGAGGAGGAAGGAGAGCAGGAGGGGAGACCGAGGGCCCGAAGACCGGAGACAGGAGGAGGAGGCGGCGGCTGCTGCTGCTGCTGCGGCGGCGGCGACTGCTGCTGTTGCGGCGGCGGCTGCTGCTGCTGCTGCTGCGGCGGCTGCTGCTGCTCCTCCTGCTGCTGTAGCGGCTCCAGCTGCTGCGCCTCCTGCTGCTGCGGCGGCTCCAGCTGCAGCTGCTGCAGCTGCTCCTGCTGCTGCTGCTGCTCCTCCAGCCGCTGCAACTCTCTCTCCTCTCTCTCCAACTCCAGCTGCTCCTCACGGGCACGGCGAACACGAGCCTGGTGCCAGGTCGGGTAGGGGTGGGGGGGAGGAGTAGTGTCGGGGGCTGCGGCAGCCCCGGGACTGCCCTCCAAAGCACCTGGCGCACCACCCCCAGAGTCAGCACCACCAACAGCAACACGACCAGGCTCACCAGGACCCAAAGAGGGTGCACCCGCACCCCCAGACGTAGCACCCCCAAAGTCAGCGGGACCAACACCAGCTCCCGGAAGACAAGAGTCTCCTGCAACCACGGGCTCAGCTCCAACTCCAGCACCCCCAGAGCTAGCACCTGTAGGGCCCTCTCCACGAGCACCGGCTCCCGCAGGGTCTGCAACAGGCTGCGAGGAGGACTGCGGGGAAGGAGGCTGCACCTGAGGGGCTACCGAGGGGGGAGGGGTAGCCTGGGACACATCTGACGGGGCGGGACCAGGGGGGGGAGGCTGTACCGGGGGAGCAGGAGGGGGAGCGGAAGTCAAGAAGAGAGGGGGAGGAGGATCCGGGAGACCTCGACTGGGGTACCTGACGTAGTAGGGGGTGGACTCCTCGAAACGGACGTCACGGGAGTCAAAAAACCGGTGAGAGGGAGGGTGGTAAAAGGTGAAGTCAGAGGAGTCCTCAGGGAAACCAAGGAAGACACAGGGAACGGCGCGAGGCGAGAGCTTGTCCGCGGAAGTGTCGCGGACAAGAGCCAAGCAACCCCATACACGAAACCTCGACGCAACACCAGGGGACCCGGTCCAAAGACTGGTCGGTGAAGCCTCTGGCCGAGAGACGCGTGGCCAGAGGTTCAGCTGGTGAGCGGCGTACCTAACCGCGTAGGGCCACAGAAAATGGGGGGCACGGGCGTGAGTCAAGGAGGTGCGGGCGATCTCCATGACCAAGCCTATGCGGCGCTCAGCAACCCCATTCTGCTGTGGGGACTCTGGAAGCGTCCAGGACCGACGAATGCCCTGCTCGCGACAGAATCCAGCGAGAATGCCGGAGCAAAACTCACCCCCTTGATCAGAGTGAAGACAGCTGACACGACGACCATGAGTGCCCTCAGTGGTAAGCAACCACCTGATCAGCGTAGAAGTCACCTCAGACTTCTTCGCCAGGGGGAACACTATGGTGTAGCGGGAGTAGTCGTCAACGACCACAAAAAAGAAACGCTCGCGCTCAGGGCCAAGGCGAGGGGCGGGGCCCCAGACGTCCAAATGGAGCGTCTCAAAAGGCTCGGTGGCCGGACGAAGGGAGGAGGAGTGAGGGGTGGCGCGCAGCCGACCCTCGACGCAGGGACCGCACGGCGGTGCAAGCGAAGGCGGCAGCGACGGCAAGACACGCGGGAGGCCTAAGACAAGACGCTGACGAGACATAGCGCGCAGACGAGGGAGGGACGGGTGCCCCGTCCGATGGTGCCACAGAACGGTGGGGTGTGCAAGCGACCGGCAGGAGCACGACGCAGCAACTGGACCAGACACGGGAACCTGACCAGACACAGCTACCTGGGGGGACGCAGCAACCTGGTGAGACGCAGGGACCAGACTGGGGGAAGTAACCGGGGCCGGGGGCAGGAGTCGCTGCTGCTGCTACTGCTGCTGCCCACCAGGGCCAGTGTGAAGTGTGTAGAGACCAGAGCCCGGCTCGGCAGTAAAGGTGGCAAGAGGCGAGTAAGTGTCGCCGTCAACACAAACCGCCGTCTCACCAGAGGGCTCAATCCACACACCCACGTGCTGACTCACAAGAGGCCTCACGCCCACCAATTTCCTCGAGAACGAGGGGACGTGGAAGCCAGTCAGAGACCCAGAGGGAACAGCAGGGCAAGGTAGAGTAGTAGTGTAGCGAGCAGTGACTGGTCCCGAGGTGGGATCAGCCAGGGCCACAGAGACTGGCGCAGGAAGTGGAGTAAGTGTCGTGTGGTCGCGGAAGAAGCAGTGCGAAGCCCCAGAGTCCAGAGTGAAAGACAGCGAAGCGTCCTCCGAAGTAGCGCCTG